TTCTCTCAGTTCTATAATGACCACAGACCTAGGCTTCCAGCCTCCAGGCCAAACCCACCACCTGCCCTGAGTTGTTTCTACAAAATACACATTTGGCCATTTCACTCTCCTGCTCAAGAACTTTCAATGGCTCCCTAGAGCCCTTGGAATAAACTCTGAACTCTCAGCACTGCCTTCAAACACTTCACAGTCTGACCTCAGCCTTCCCTTCTACATCTTGCTCATCTCTAGACACAGTCCCCCCCCTCCCTTGCACACAGTCCAGCCCCACCAGATTCCTCCATGGTCCTCAAATAATCCATACCTCCCCTTGACTGCAATGCTCCTTTGGCCTTTTGATTCCTGATGAATTTCCATCTATTCTGTAAGACGCTGAATAAGCGTTACCTTCTCTCTGCAAAGCCTTCCTTGGCCCTCTGTAGACCTCCTGGGAGTTTTCTGGAACATTCTCTTTCAGAAGCCTCAAAGTCCTCAAGAGGATAGGCCGTCTAAGATTTAGAGCTGCTCACTGTCTATGAGCATGAGTCGGTGGCAGAAGCTTTGTAGGGTTTTGTTGGCACAGACTTGGTATTGTTTAAGACAACATTAAACCCTCCCCACTGGACCAGAAGCTCCTTGAAGGACGCCACCTTGGTGTCCCCAGCACAGAGCCCGGGGACTGGCACCAAGTAGGGCTGAATGCGCAAAGAACCCAGAGAAGATGCAGCCCCTTCTCTCCCCTGTCGTTAGCTTGAGTCCTGCTGCTTCGCCGGCCAGCCCCCACCACAACCTGCCCAGTGGCTAACACTCCCAGAGATGACATTACAAGGGAACAGATACGAGCCGTCAGACAGATCCTCACCCATTCCACGCTCTTCCAATGACGACATGTTTAGTCTGTACTGTCTCCTCTGGCCTCCTGACCCACAACAGAGACAGCATAGTTCCTGACAGAAACAGAACCCCCTCTCCGCCCCCGGGGTTCTCTACATCGGGGTGAGCACTGAGCAAACACACCAGGCCTCTGGCCTCCCTGCCAGTTCTGGGATGTTGAGTGACAGCCTTCAGACCAGAATGAGTCTCTCCCTAGACTTTGCAGCCTCTGGACACGGTGTCATGAGGTTGAGGGATTGGGGATGGGTCTCTCGGTTGCTGTTTTCCTCAACCTCCCCACAGATGCCCAGGGAAGTCCTTCAGCGACTACCTGGAAAGCAGGCATTATTTTTTTCTTCCTTTGGGGGAGTCCCTACAGAAGATCTTTGTCACACTGCCACCTTGAAGACATGGCTGGGGCATGAAGACCTTCTTCCCCAAGAAGCCTCAGGCCCTGGTTCTAGGGTCCATATCCCTTCCCCTTTCACCGAATCTTCCAGCTTCCAGGGTGAGTGCCTTCTCTGGGGGAAAGGACAGCCAGGATTCCCAGGCCAGGGAGATCCAACACTTGTCTCAATTCCCCACCGCCATCACACACACATCACACACGCCAGCATCATCTTCCTCACTCTTCATGCTCCCAGAGCACTTTGCACCTTGATTCTGGTTTTTCAGATGCTAATTCACAATTATCTGTGATTGTGTATGAATGAGAATCATCTCTGTCTCCTTATGTAAGTGACACAGAGCAGGGGCCCAATGGTTGTGGGTTACCCTCTTCTCTCCCGTCCTCTCCCAGGATTCCCACTCAATGGAGAAGGAGGACCCTGAGGTTAGCTCCATCCCTTGGAGGACAGAAGAATGATCTAGAAGGCTTATCTAAATCTAGAAGAATAATCTAAAAGCCTCCTCTGGGATGGCTTTTCTGCTATCTATGGTGACTATATCCTGGTAAGCTTGCAACTTGGTGGGGGGTGATCTGGCTTACCTCTTCCCCCTTTCTGCAGGAAATGATCATAGCTGACTTTGTTAAGCACATACCACGTCCCAGGCACTGTGCTTATGTGACGGACTTCCACTTTTTCATTTAAACCACACAAGCAGCCTTCGGGTTGGAGTTAGAAAGCTGAAAAGACTAGCCTACGGTCATGTAGTTAGTGAGAAGCAGACTCTGTCCCTGCACCACACCGCCTTCTTGAACAGCCTCAGCTGGTCCTCACCCAACCCTCTCCCTTCTGGGGCTTTGCTAGCTGAGGGAACTCACCTCTCTGAAACTTCACTTCCTCGTCTGACACGTGAGAGCAGCGATACTTCCCTCAAAGGTGCCTGTGAGATTCCCTTAGGTTCAGCATGTCAGGCACAGAGCCTGGTGCACAGGAGCTACCCCCACCCGCTACCATCCCTCAGGCCTCCCCATTGGGGTGGGGGAGGAGAAGGGTGACCTGCTATCCCCAACCACCCAGCTGTCGCAGAGGCGGGACAGCCCCGAGCTGTCGGCTCCCTGAGCTCCGTTCCACATCACAGCCGATTAGTTACAAATAGCTTCCTCTCCTCCTGTATCACTTACACAACAGAGAGAAAGAGGCGATTGTTCCTGAGGGGAAGGTCTCCCAGGCTCCTTCTCACCAGGGCAGCCGAGAGACGAGACGCAATGGGGGAAAGAAGAGAGGTAGGAGGAGAATTGGGGTGTAGTCACAGGAGAGAAGGATGAGAAGGGTCCCTGCATTTGCAGGGAGGGGGGGACTGCTGGGCACCCACCCTGGTGGGCAGCAGGCAGGCAGGGGACGGAGACTTAGCAAGGCTCCTGGGCCGTGAGGGCGGGGGAGGGCGGCGGCTTGGGCGCGCTCGTGAGCCTGATTCCTCGACAGCAGCTTGCCCAGTGGCCCCAGTTGGGGAGGGGCTGCCCCCCTCATTGGGCAGCCGGAGCACAGCAGGTGCCTGGCCTCTGGATATCTGGAGAGCACTGGACACCACCAGGATCTGAACAGATGCCCTGCCTCAAAGCAGCCGTGACTGGCCAGCCCTCCAGCCCCTCTGGTTTCAATAAAGCCCAATCTGGGACTCGGCGTCAGAGAGGCTGCTGGACACGAGGTGCTGGCTGTGGCCCCAGAGCCCTCCTTTGCCCATGGTGGTCCTTGACTCTGCTGTCACCATTAAGCTAGGTCCCTCCATTAAAGCCGAAGGCCAAGCACGCACAGAGGACCCCTTTGTCATCCTCTTAGCACAGCTGAGACCAGCTGGCATTTTCACAAAGGGCTTACTAAATGCTAAGGGAGAACAAAAGGGAAATAATTACAGAAAACACGAAAAACCCAGCCCTGGCTGCCAAGTTCCCAAAGTACAGGTTTCCGATCCTTTGGTGATGACGCGTCGCCCCAAAGGCCTGGGACAAGGCGGCGGGCACCTTGCCTGGCTTCCCTTGTTCGCAGCCCTCGTGGCGGGTGCCATCTTGTTTCCTGCCCCTGGGAACCACTTGGTCACCCGTGGGCTCTGCTTTTGTCTCCTTTCCAACTTACCCCACCCCAGGCCCCCCACTGGGTTCTGGTCTCTGGCCAGAAGCATGAGCCTTGTCCCTTGGGGGCTGGCGGGGCTGTGGTGACCAACCCCGGGCGTGATTACATAGTAATGGGAGGTTGTCCTCCCACACTCACCCCTACCAGAGAGGCCCACCCACGTTGTGCTGAGCATGGGGTCTAGGAGGGCTGCCTCTGAGGACTGAAGGACAGTTGGGTAAGGAATGGGCAGACTTGGGACGTTTTCTCTGTGGGGAGAGGAGAGAGTGCGTGGAGGACTGATCCAACTCCACGAACATTAAGTGTGCCAGACACTGGACAAGGGGCTGGAAATCCAAGGGTGAACAGGTGTCTGCCTTCTCAGACCTACAGTCTGAGGGAAGACAGACAAGCAGCTGGCGCTAAGAGACTACGAACCGGGTGTTATGGTGGAGAGGCGGTTCCAGGTGCTGAGGGAACCTGGATGAGGAGTGTCTTGCCCAGTGGTGGCGGCCAGCAAGGCTATCGAGCCTGCCTGAAGGAGTGTGTGGAGAGGGGCGCCTGGGTGGCTCAGTCAGTTAAGCATCTGACTCTTGGTTTTGGCTCGGGTCATGATCTCATGGTTCCTGAGCTGGAGCCCCACGTAGGGCTCTTGTGCTGCTGATGCAAAGCCTGCTTGGGATTCTCTCTGTCTCCCTCTCTGTCTGCCCCTCCCCCCCTTAAAATAAATAAATAAACTTAAAAAAAAAGAAGGGCATGGAGAGAAGGAAAGGGTCTCAGTATTAAGGCTGGGGTGGGCCCACAGGAGATCCCAGCCCAGGGGGTAGGAGGAGAAGGCAGACGAGGCTGATCAAGTAGCTTCCTGCTGGTGACCGGTGACCTTGGGTAGTTGGTGTCTACAGCTTGTCTCGCCTATGAGGTGGAAAGGTCCTCGGCCCAAGCTGCCGGCTGCTGCTGACCCTGCCAGCCAGGAAAGGAGAGATTCTAGTCCTTGGATACGCTACTTCTCACCCACCTCTGCCATACCCAGGTCTGGGGCTCAGGGACAAGGTCACAGGGAATGTGCTTACCTAGTGCCACCTGAGACAGATGCTGAATTGTCATCAAGGGAGTAGGAAAAGTCATAGTTGGGAAATAGTTCGGAGGATCAAGACAATGAAAAGGCTAGGCCAAAATGGGAAAATGAGTCAGGAAGCTGAAAGGCAGGAAATTGGGATGGGTTGAGGCAGGTGTTTCAGGCTAAAACCATGACTAATGTAAGGTGTGGGAAGCCCTGTGTTTTGGGTCAGCCTGGGGAAGAAGGGGCTGGCCTGGAAGCCTGGTGTGCAGGACTAGAACCCACAGCTTCTCAGGGTGACTACTGTCATGGCCCAGACCCTCTGTTTACCTAGATTTGTCCTACCTCTGCGACAGGGTCAGCACCAGGTAGTGGAGTTGGGCTGCTGGGGTGAGGGCTGCTTCCTGCCACACATCAACCTTGCGGAGCCTGTCAAGCACCCACTCTGCTCCAGCGAGGGGAAGTCTCAGAAACCGCTTAAGACGTGGGCCCTACCTTCCAGGTAGGTAATCTGGTCGGCACAGAAAGCTTATGCTACTGGGAAGAACTTGGAGAAAGACCTAGGCTGACCCTCACCTTGTTGCTCTCTCAGTAGCTAAATGGCTACAGGGAAATTACTTCGGCACCACACACCTCCACCTTCCCATATTCTAAATGGGAATAGTGACAACGAGCTCTCAGTGTTGTGGCATTCAGCCGAGCTGAGTGGCTCAGGCACCAGGCACAGTGCTTGGCCCACAGTAAGTGCTCACTAAATGCCACTTCTCTCCCTGCAACAACATGAGATTGTGGCGACACACAGTTCCCTGTGGAGTTCCGAGCATTGACTCTGCTGGTTAATCTACTCAAAAGGCCTTGGGGCGCCTGGGTGGCTCAGTAGGTTGAGCGTCCGACTTCGGCTCAGGTCATGATCTTGCAGTTCGTGGGTTCGAGCCCTGCATCGGGCTCTGTGCTGATAGCTCGCTCAGAACCTGGAGACTGCTTTGGATTCTGTGTCTCCCTCTCTCTCTGACCCTCCCCTTCTCATGCTGTCTCTCTCTCGGAAATAAATAAATCATTAAAAAAAAAAAAAAGGCCTTGATGACAGCTGGGAGCTGATCACCTGGATGGGGATGGGGAGAATACAGGGCACAGGAGGTAGAGGAAGGAGTGTGCACGCATTCACGTGGACAAGCAAGCCCCTCCATCATCCTGCTCCTCTACGATTGGCAGCAGAAAATTCTTTATTTTCTGTCTCATGTCTGTGATGGCAAAGACTCTGCTCTGTAACAGGAGTGTTTTTGTATCTCTAATAGGAATCCAGAGTTGAATCAGAAGTCAGGCTATTTAGTGTTACTATTCCTACTTGGGATGGAGGAAGCGGGATGGGGGTGGGGGCTCTGAGAAGTACAGGAAGTTACTTTAGGTTATTCGGCTGGTAAGAACCTGGGGGCCACAATCCAGGGGAGCAGAGCCACCTGCATGCCCTCGCTGGACTGGATGTGAGCTAGAGTAAGCCTCTGTCTAACCCATGGAAAGGTTGGGTCTCGGTGGTTTCGGCCCCCAGCCTACCCTAGCTAATTCATCTCACAACCCAAGAAGCCAAGTTTAGAAGGGTGTGGTCCTTAGTTGAGTGACAAACAAAAACAAAAGCAAATAACAAATAACAGGCACACTTGTGGGAACCACAGACGTGGTCCAGGTATTCTCTTCACTCAAGAGTATAGAAGGAGGGTACAGCATCTCCAGCTGTCTGCACCCGTCCCTCACGAACCAAAACTTTGAGGGACCCCTGTGCCACATCCCCAGCACCTGGGCCAGTGCCTAAGGCACGGGAGGACTGAAGCAATATGTGTCAGATTAAAGAATGAGTGAATACAAACACATGCACATAAATAATATATGCATCCCTATCCACACAGTTACAGACAAATATGCCCAGTGCATAAGTGTTGAAAACACTCAGTTATAGACAACCATAAACAATACGAATATTTAAATATACACACTCAAAAATATATATATACATTCTCATGCACAGCACACACTTGTGCCCACGTACACAAATCCAAATCCAAAATAAAAACACACGCACTGTGCGGACACAGACATCATGGACAAACGTATATGATCCAGAGGTGCACGAACACCCATCTACTCACACCCATACACATGCGCAGCAATGCCCAGACACCCTCCACCATGACCCTGGGCCCGGGAAGGAGTCTGTCTGCTCCATGAGTCCTAGCATGCTGGAGCTCGTTAGAAAGTTCTTTGCAGCCCCCGCTTAGCTGGCGGATGACTGGCCCCTGGCTCTTGGACCTCCGGGCTTGGCCGGCAAGGGAGGCAGCAACATCTCCAGCAGCCCCGCGTGGGTGGGCTGGCAGGCAATGGACACAGAGGTCACTGGGGTGAGCGCTGGGGCTGCCCTGGCCCCCCTGCTCTGGGCTGGAATGTGAACGGCAGGGGCCGCCTCCCAGGCCTCCCCCTCTCCCACAGTGCCCACTGGCAGCCCCAGGCTCCGGCCAATCCCTGAATCCTGTCAGGTTCTTGCAGCTAGGGAGCTGTGCATGGAGGGTGGGGGTGGGGGTGGGGGTGGGGGTGGGGAGGGTGGCGGGTGATGAACACTCAAGGCCCATGGGAGGGCACACACAAATGCACAGAGATGCACAGTCATACACAGACGTTGGTCCGGACATTAATCCACACGGAAAGACACGCACGCAGAGACACGGGCAGGCATACAAATTCCCGATCCCACTGAAGTGCACTTTCCGACACACTTCCGAACACACCTAGAGACACAGTGGACACACACACACACACACACACAGTCACACAACATGCAGAGATATGGGAGACCAGAGCCACACACAAGCTGCACTCGGACATCCATACGGCCAGACGCATGCAGACCACATAGACTCAAAGCACATGTGGATCTCCACAGTCACACACACAAATGGCCACACACGTGCACACACAGACACACACAGACCCCTAGAGGCAGACCTCTGCCGAGTTGGAGCATTTCCTTCTCCTGGGACCAGGAGGAAACGCTGCACTAGACCACTCTCAAACCACATGTGGTGGCCTGAGAAAACTGCCTTCCGCAGAAGGAAATAGTGCTGGACCCTCAGCCAGGTGCCACAGTAGTGCCCTACTGAGCGCCTGGCCACGAGGATGACGCCTGGGGTGCAGAGACAGTTCTCGAGTCACATGGCTTGCATTTTGTTTCTGTCAATTCCTCAAAAACCCACGCACGCGCACCCTTTTCAAGAGTGCATATATATGTGCAACGTATACCGGCAGGGGCTCTCTGGGAACCTCAGTTTCTTCATCTTTAAAATGAGGTTAATAATCCTTTCGCCCCTGAGGATTGTGGGGGCGGCATAGGTGGCACTGTAAAAGGTCAGACCAAATTGCTGCCTTCCTCTGGGTCTGGAGTTGCAGTTTCTGCAGGGGCCGCTAAAGTCAGGAGCCTTGTTGGCAAATGTTGCGCTCCACTACCTGGGTGCCCGCACCCACGCCAGCGGGAGCGCAGCCGCGGGCCCCTCTCTGGGCCGGCACCGGGTGCCGCCTGGGTCACGGACGCCCCGGCGGGAAGCTGCAGGCCGGCCGGCTGCGGGGCGGGACCGGCCGCCGCGGGGGCGCCCCTTCCGCGCACTGCGGGCCGGGCGCGCTCGGGTTCGCGCCGCCGCCGCAGCCACCCGAGGGGGCCGCTCCCAGGCCTCGTCGACGGTGGGCGGGGCTGGCTTGCTGCCCCGCCCCTCTCACGGCCCTTGAAAACCAGTCGCCAACAGGCTGCAGTCCCAGAAGGGAGCTGCTGTCTGAGGAGGAGGCTAACCCTCTACTGGCCTCCACGAGAGGCCCTGGGATCGCGCTGGGCGCCGAAGGGACCTCCCCAGGGACCCGCCTGCCCCACACCGCCCCGCCCCGGCGCGCGCCGCATCAGGTGCCCCGGCCCCAGCCCTACCTGCGGACTCCAGGCTCTTGGGGCTTCCAGAGGATGCTCGAGCCACCTGCGGTGAACTCGGGGCAGCAGTGAGGTCCTCTCCTCCTGTGCCAGGGGCTCCCCCAGGGGGCCGAGCATGGTGGTTTTCCCTTGGAACCTCCTGGCTTGGGACGTCTGAGAAGATACCTGCCATGAGGCTGTTCACTTGCTTCCTGCAGCTCCTGGCTGGGCTGGCACTGCCTGCTGTGCCCCCCCAGGTAAGACCTATCCCAGCCCCAGCCTGGCCCCCCTTATTTTCCCAGCCGCCAGCACTCGGGGCAGGGGCTCCGAAATCACAGACCCACCCCCGGGAGCGGTACCTCCATGGATGTCCACACACTCCCCAGGAGCCAGGCTGGACCACATCTTCTGGGAGGAGACCTCAGGCTGGGCTGTCCTGGACTCTAGCTCCGGGGTCTGTCTTGGCGGGGGCAGGGAAGCCACAAGGAAGGGAGGGAGGCTTCCTGTCTGGCCCCTGGAGCCCTGGTGGCTTTGCTAAAAGCATCTCTCCACTAATCCCAGGCGGGTCCCTGGCCTTGTGGTCAGGGTCGAGGCCCCATGACCAGGCAGGCGCCCCCAGGACCTCTGACCTGGCCTGGTGGAGGGGAAGCCAGCTCAAGAGGCCATTGGTGGGGAGGCTGGGCCCTGCCCCCACCAGGGCTCTGGGTGAGCCCAGGGCTCCTGGGTGGGCTGAGGGCAGACAAGAGGTCCCGCTGTGCCCTCTTTCCTGGGTGAGCAGTTGGAGTTCCTGAGTGCAGGGCCTGGGGAAGCGAACAGGGCCCTTTTCCCAGGAGCCGGGTGAGTCTGGCTGGGAGCCAGCTTGGGCAGTGAGATCCTGACAAAGCCAATGAGAGCCCTTCCCACTGCACTGTCCTGCTGCCCCAGGAGTCCCGCAGCCCAGGAGCGGGTGTGCTGGGCAGTCTTGCGGGGGCGGAAGAGCCCCACTGCCTGCCACTGCCTGCCTGCTGCAGGGCTGGCCAGAGGTGTAACGTTACCGGCAGCACCAGCTCATGGCGCCACCCGCTCCAGCCCCTCCGCTCCCACCAGCTGATCACCTCCCCCCCCCCACCCCCCAGGATTTTGGCACCCAGCCAAGGCAGGCTGCACAGGGCCCAGCAGGGCTGGCCTGGGGCTGGGGAGAAGGGAGACCCCTAAGGGTTGCAGGATCTTTGAGACATAGAAGGCAAGGGTCTCCAAAAGCCTATAGCCTTCCACCCTATCCAAATGAGGAAACTGAGGCCAGAGAGAGGGGTGGGAGCCACCCAGGGTCTGGTGAGATTTGCGTTGCACTGGGGAAGAGGGAGCTCTGAGACGGGGGCTGGCAAGGAGCTCAGAGGGGCCTTTATTGCTCTTGTCAGCTGGGTCCCAGAGCAGAAGCCCCCTCATCTCTACCCTTTTCTGTCTGCAGCAGTGGGCCTTGTCTGCTGGGAACGGCTCATCTGAGGTGGAAGGTAAGCACGCTGGGCTGGGGGTGCACGTGCTTACCAAACCCGCCGTCCCAGTCCTCTGCAGAGGATAAGAAGGGACTGGCATGAATGAAGGATGGGTACAGGCTGATAGGAAGTTGGGGGAGAGTGTGCAAGCCGGCTGACATCCTAGCTGACAAAGTCAGCGGGGCTTGAGAGATCCTTCTATTGTGACCCAGAAGCCTAGTGAGACGTATTCCTGGGCCAGAGTCACCCAGCACACAGAGAGTGAGTCTGGGGCCAGTATATCCTGGGTTCGTTTGGTGCGCTTGGAGCCTCTTTCCAATATAATGTAAGGAGGTAGATGGGGTCTTGGAGGGCGGTGCAGGCAGGGAGTGCCAGGGGCCGTTCTAGGGATCCAGGAGCCGGTTGCAGTGGGCAAGCAGTCAAGAGGATTAGGGAGGGGTGAGGGGACCTTCCCAGAAGCGCAGCCCTGGCAGAGCTGCAGGGATCTGACCAGGCCTTTCCATTGATTACAAACAGACAGAACATGAGTCGTGCCCTCCCTGGCCCCTCCACTCCGCACCCCGGTTGCATCAAGAGGGAATCTTCAAAGGGTGTGTCGTTTGCCAAAGGGACATACGTGCAGAAGGCAGGAGGCTATGCCAGGCCCCCTGCCTCGCCCCTCCCTCCCTGCCTCTCTGGGACGTGCAGTGAAGCCACACACCACTACTGAGGCTTCCTCTCGTGCTGTGGGAGAGGGAGCGTGTAGGGCGTGCACACACACACTCGTGGTAGCCTCTTAGAGCTGGGAACACCTTCCCCCTGTGCCCTGGCTGCCTGGTAGCCAGCCTCTCCTGGGCACTGAAAAGGTGGGGGAGGTAGCAGCCTTTAACTTCACAGACAATCTCCCTGTCACCCTGCTGTGCCCTCTGGGACTGGCACCGTATTATTCTCTTGGGACTTGGGGAGGGACCTATCAGCCATCTCTACCCCATGACCTTTTTGATACTTTTGGTGTATTCCAGGCAACAGTCACCCAAGAAGCCTGAACCTCAGTTTTCTCATCTGTAAAATAGGAACATTAGATTACACGATATCCAGCGTTTGTTTTCTCAGATTGTGGGGTTCTCTGACTCCCATGGAGGAGACACAGGAGTGTATGTATCTCCCAGGGCCAGGGGTGAGGAGGCTTAGAAGTGTCAGTTCATTAGGGCAGCTGTCCTGTTATCCTAATCAGTCAGGGAGCATGTATTGTGGCCAGAAGAAACACCATGCGTTTTGGGCCCCGGTTACCACAATCTGAAAATGCCATCCCCTCCTGCTAACCTCAGACACGAGACTGCCTGGTCTGTACTTTGCAGCCGTGGGCATTGATTTTTACTATTACCATTCATGGTACTAGTATTGGGCAGTTACTATAATTCTGTGCTGGCCACAGGCTGTGAACTGGGAAGGCATTCTTCCCGCCCCCATTTTATAGCTGGAGAACCTAGACTTGGAGAGCTCCTTGGGGTCACCTGGAGCCTCAGACGTGCCCCAGTATATGTGGCAAGGTGGGTGTGCATAGCATCAGGCCTCCCCGTGGCTCATGACTGTGCAGGCATGAGCAGCGTGTCCCTTTCCGCAGGCTGGCTGCGTGCCCTGCCAGTGCCATGGAGAGAACACCTGCCGAACTCAGGCTGGTGGCTGGTGGCTCTGCCCAGCTCTGGGGCCCCTCCCTAGGAGCTTGCTCTCAGGATTAAACATCTCCCTTCCTGTGTCTCCTGCAGCCCAGGTCATAGGCAGATGGAATCAGGTGGGAGGCTTGCCCCTAGGGCTGGAGAGAGATGGCTGAGAGCCCACCTGCGGCCCTGGCAGCAGCCAGGGACTGCCCAGCCCTGGCCAGGTGACTGACTGAGCCACCACCTCTATCTAGTTCCTCTTGTCCCACCCTGCCTCTGGAGCAGGGCAGGGGTGGGAGGGGTGGGGGGCAGAGGAAGTGCTCTCAGGAGCAGTTGAGCAGAGCTCTTTCCTGAGGGGCTCAGCCCACATCTGGGAGCAGTCACCATGCTCCGGGAGCCAGCCCCTCACCCAGCCCCCTCGCATAGCCCCCTCTGTTTCTCCCACATGCCCAGACAGTGGCCTCCAGAGACGAATTGCCCTTTTTCCTGGTGGCTGCCAGGTAAACCAGACAGAGCCCGCCTCCTTCTTAGTCCTCCCAGCCCCCCACCCCCACATGCAGTCTGGTCATGTGGCCCATGGAGCCTGGGTCCTGTTGACGTAGTCTGCATGGTAGGGTGTGGGGGTGAGGAAAGGAAATCCCTTCTGTTGCCAAGGCCCAGGCAGCTCTGCTTAACCTGGCTGTGGCCCTGACAACCCAGGGAGTCTGTTCGTAGAATGGTAGGGGGCTGAGGCGCCCCTTCCCTGTTGCCACCCCCCTCCCTGATGGCTAGCGCTGGAGCAGGAGCCTGAGTTTCGATGGCGCTTTGGCAGCCGGCTGTCCCTCTGCCGTTATTCATGTTGTCCGTGGCGGAGATGAAACATCCAGAGTTACACAGTGCTCGTGGCTTTTAGACTAAACATGCGCTCGCGGAGTGACAATAGGGAGGTGCGGCTCTGACCTCGCACTGCAGAGGCTGGCCTCCTCAGGGCTGTGCAGCTGCTGACGGGGAGAGGGTCTTGTTTCCCACTTGTGTCCGGGGAGAGTATTCCCATGGCCGGAGAGGTAGGATCAGGGGGGGCATCCGGCCCTCCTGTCCCCGGCCCAGCCCCTAGTGCTCCTTAAGCAGGCAGGACAGAATGAAGCGGCAGACACCCAGATAAGCATGGTTTATTGCTTCTGTGGCCGCCTCGGCCAGCTCCACTTGGACACACCACCTCGGGTATTTTCCACCAGCTTGCAGCCTTTCCCGAGGGCCTCTGCTAGGGCTGAAGTTTATTTTTCCTCTGAGATTACCCTGAGACTCACGGCCTTGCAGGCTCAGTGGAATGGACTTCGGCCCCTTCTGCCTCCTAGGGAAGGCCATGGAAGGAAGTGAGGGACGGCTAGGAGCGGCCGTTGCTCTGGGACAGAGGCTGCAGGGTCCCCAGGTGATTCAGCTTCCCTATCCTTCCCCATCAGCTGGGGACAAGCATCAGGTATGGGGCAGGACGACCCAGAGTTAGGAGGTGTTTCTCTGCGCACAGTCTCAAGGCTGGGCTGGGCTGCACGCACAGAATCCCAAACCGTGTGTCAGAGCCAAGAGAGACCTTAGCAACCATCTATTCCCAGTCTTCTTGTTTTCCCCAGCTGAGGAAACTGATATGCCCAGAAAGGTTAAGTGACCTCCCAAGGTCACACAGCCGGTATAGGGCCAGGACTGGATGCCAGGTCTCCTAACTCTGGCTACGCACTTCCTGTGAGCCTCTGTTTGGGACCAGGCCCCTGTCCTTCACTTGAAGGAGCATCTTTTGAGAGATTCCAGATCAACCCACAAAAGATCTTGGTCACAACTAGCAGGATGTGGTGGGGGTCAGGGATGTCCCTGATAATCCTCAGTGAACTGTCATCTAATCAATCAGTAATTACTTAGCCTATTTTTACTGGGTGCTTGGGTCCCTGTCCTCATGGAGCCTTGACTTGGTTGTAAAAGAGATAAGAGCGACTAGTGGCCAAGATAAGGTAAAACCTAGGGGCCAAATTATGCTCAAAGGAGAAACATCTGTTCATACTGGGAAAGTTGGAGAAGGCTCCAGAGAGGAGACAGGGTAATGGGCTTTATTGGGTTAGAAATGGGAAGGGGACAAAGAGCACATCCCAAAGGTAGGAATAATGGTACAGCCAAGCTTGATGTAAGGGCTGGTCCCACTGAAATGGAGAGTGATGCGTTCAGGGCACATTGCTGGCTGTGGCCTTGGCTGCCAGGGAGAGGGGCTGGCTCAGAGTGGGGCAGAAGATAAGGGCTAAGGAGAGGCTAACCCTCCCCATGGGACTCTACGAGCCAATCATGCAGAACTGACCGTGCTCTGCAAATTCCCCAAGATCGAGGAAGCAGTAGATCAGGCCCGAGAAAGACCCAGAGGGCCCAAGGAGCTGCCAAGACACACGCTCCTCAAAGCTTCAAGAGCACCGTGGCAGATGTGGGCACCTGCGTTGAGAATAGAGCAGAGAGGCAAGACACTGTGAAACTCCATTCTGCCTGTGGTTTCTGTCCGGCAGAAGAGCTAAGGGTCCCGCAGTCATCCCAGAGGCATCACGTCAGGAGTGCAGAGCACAGAGAGCTCACATAGGCTGGGGGCTTCCTGGAGGAGGGAGTGTGGGCTGAGCCCCGAAGGCCCTGCTTGGGGGAGCTGGCACTGGGGCCCCGAGGGGCAGGCGCCTTCTGACCTGACCCAGCTGTCCGTGCCTCCTTGTAGTGGTGCCCTTCCAGGAAGTGTGGGGCCGCAGCTACTGCCGGGCGCTGGAGAGGCTGGTGGACATCGTGTCGGAGTACCCCGGCGAGGTGCATCACATGTTCAGCCCCTCGTGCGTCTCCCTGCTGCGCTGCACCGGCTGCTGTGGTGATGAGAACCTGCACTGCATGCCGGTAGAGACGGTCAATGTTACCATGCAGGTAGGGAGGGAAGGAGAGCAGGCCAAGTTCCCGGGACTGGAACAGACTCCGAGGCCCCAACTCTCCCCACCCCAGCACAGTGCTCCCCCTGCTTGGAGCCCACTCATTTCCTCCATTACCAGCTTTCTTGGGCTCTAGCCTGGTCCTACCTCATGACCCAAGGGTATCTGGTGGAGCTTGGAAAGGAAATCTGTTCAGATTCAAAAAGCCCTTGTGTCTACCAGGAGCATTTGGGGCCCTGAGCTGTGTGTGTGTGCGCACACACACTTACACACACATACATGTGCACACATACACCTTGTTTATTAAGCACCTGCTAGTAAGGCCAATCCCTGTATTAGGTGCTTCCTAAATGTTACTTCTGTTACCTCAACATTCAGTCCTTCGAGGCAAGTGTTATTTACATTTCACAGATGAAGAGCTTGAGGTTCAGAGTTATCATTTCATTCGCTCAGCAGGTAGAAGAACCAAGACTGTACTTAGGCCTCTCTGAGTCCAGAGCAGAGTCCCCCTTCCTACAGTATTGCTGTGCTGGTGGCCCTGGGTAAGGAGGCCCAGGGGCCCCCCTCAGATCCACATGCAGGCAGGAGGCCGTTTGCCCCCCGACTCAAAGCACAATGAGAGTATGTGATCCAAAGGCTGGTGGGAAGCATAGGGTCAGGTCCTCCTTGCAGGGAGAGGGTGGAGAGAACATTGGAAACCCACGGACTATCCCCCAATCCCGGCATCAAACCTTTGTCTCCCTGAAGCTCTTGAAGATCCACTCTGAGGACCGGCCCTCCTATGTAGAGCTGACATTCTCTCAGCACGTCCGTTGCGAGTGCAGGTAGGTCCTTGGGGAGCGGCAGGGACATGCCCTTCCCACTTGGCAGCTCAGCCTGGTAGCTGCCCATCCCTCCTGCACCGTCTTCCTGGCTGAGGGAGACAAAGGATATCGGGGATCGGTGGCAGCTGCCTTTTATTCCCCACATCAGCCCATTTAGCCTGGGGAAACTGTCCCATCAGCTGGGGCACAGCTGCCTGAGAAGCCACAGGGGCAGAGGAAGCCTGGGTCCATCCTAGACTGGCAGGGGCTGGGGGCACACCCTCCCCCTCCCTGAGGTGGGAGGGAACTGCCACAGCCCTGGCAGAGGTGTCTGGGGCAAAGACACGGCTAGCCTGGACTTGGTCCTAGGCCAGGTTGCAGCCCAGGGAAGGGACGACTGGCCTGAGGGGCACAGAGAGGGATAAGCTCTGGCAGGAGAAAAGTGGCAGAAAGAAGGAGTCGGTGGGCTTTCTTTAAAGCCAGCCTCTGCCTGGCAGAGCCTCTAACCAGCAGGCCTGCTGCCTTCGCCCAGGGCACCCTGAACATTAGTTACCAGGAGCAGCAGACCTGGCACTTTAACCAGGCTCAGGGAGGGGAGAAATGGGCTGGGACCCGGTGCCCTCCTGGTGTCCTGGGCCGTAGATGGAGGCAACAGTCTAGAGGTCCTGAGGCCAGAAGACGGGGGGAGAAGCACCATTTATTGTGCCCCACACCAGGCACTTGAATGTTTTCTCTCATTTATTCAGCAAACATTTATTGAGTGCCTGCTGTATGCCAGGCACTGTCCTAGATGCTTGAGATACAGCGGTGAGCAACACAGACAAGGTCCCTCCCCTCATACCAACCCTAGGAGGTAGGTGCTATTGCCATCCCCATTTCACAAATGAGGAAACTGAGGCTAGGGAGGGGATCCCAGCCTATATAATCCCTAAGCCTGCCATTTCTTATGCTGCCCCTCATGGCCATAACCATATTCCTCAGGAGCCGCAGTGCTGCCCTGGGCTTGGCCCTGCCTACTGTCCAGGGCTCTGGTCACCCCTCTGGGACCAGAGCCCAGGCTCTAGGCCCTCTTCACTCTACCTCTATTGGAGGCCCTGCTTCAATCCATTTCCTCCCCTCCGTCCTGGCCAGAGCTTAGCCATGTAACAATAGTTCAGTAATAGCTCTCCCGGGCACAGTGCCAAATGGTGACATTTCACCTTCTACGTCACCTCTGCCCTCATAGCCACCCTTGTGGGGCAGGCTGACTGAGGAGACAAAGGCTCAGAGACTGTCTCTGACTGGCCCAACATGGCAGAGACATGACCAGGCAGTCCCAAGATGCCCTGGTGCCATGCGCTGGCTCCTAAGGACGACAGCCAGCCTGGGGCAGCAGACCCCCGGCCCCGAAGCTGACTGTTACCGTACTGCCCACGCCCCCACCCCTGTTCCCTTCCAACAGGCTGGGCACCAGGGACACCTTTCTTCTCACTTCTGGGCCAACAGCCACAGCCCTGGAGGCAGAGCCAGGGCGTGCCCGGTGACTGTGGGGCTTGTGCTCACCTCACTTCATGTCACCCCCTCATGCACTCCCCCTGCAGTGTCATACATCCCCCGGGTGGGGGCGGCAGTTGTGCCCTGACAGGCAGCCTGAGCTGGCGGCAACCATCCTCCAGTCCATGGCTTCGCGCCTCATTCACTGTCCTTGCAGAAACTCCCAGAATGCACTCTGGGAGGAAGGGCAGGTACAAGGGAAGGAACTGAACAGAGAAAGTCAGCAGGGAACAAACTCACGGGTCCGCAGGCTCGATGCCAAGAGGTTGAGGCATGCACAAGGGTGTGGGAAGGGGCCCCAAGAGGAGGGTCCTTGCTCTCGTGGTGGGGTCACAAGAGCCTTGAGTGGAAGCTGAAATCTAGAGGCTGCTAGCCATCCCTCCCTCATTGGCTCCATCCTGCCCCCTGGTGGTGTCAGCACTAACTGCGGGACCAGGGCTCCGGATGTCTGAGAGGTGCTGGGGTGGCAGGGAGCCCCTACTTACTGGTTTCCTGATTGTCCCTGGTCTCTCTGTCTGTTTCCCAGGCCTCTGCGGGAGAAGATGAAGCCCGAAAGGTAAGTGGCCTGGCTGGGGCTCCGGGCTATTCTCGGGCCTGCCAGCCTCTGTCCTAGCATGGGGTGCCCCAGCCACTTTGTCTTGACGCTTTTGGCTTATTGCAGGAGGAGACCCAAGGGCAGGGGGAAGAGGAAGAGAGAGAAGCAGAGACCCAGAGACTGCCACCTGTGAGTGTGCGGAGGGGGGGACCAGGGATGGCAAGGAGGCTGGGCCAGAGGGGGCCCCTGCCCTGCCAGCAGGGAGCAGTGGTCGGGAAGGGGAAAGGCAAGGCCCAGGGCAGTCTTGGGGCAGAACAGGCAGCGAGCGTCTCCTAGGGAATCTAGGGCCCAGGAAGCATGAGGGGAACTTGGTTCCTGATCAGGCTCGGCCCGAGTCTCTTTGTGGCCTTTAGCGAGTCATGTCACCTCTCCAAACCTCGTTTTCCTCAGTGTGTAGAAGAAGGGGAACATTCAGTCATTCTACAGACATCTTCCAAGCACTTACTGTGCGCCACATACCTCAGTGAATGGACCGACGCGATTCTTGTTCCTATAACACTTATATTCTAGTGAAGAAAATGGTAGCAGCTAAAAACACATCCAGGGCTACTTCCTAGTGGCCCTGGGGAAGGTGCACTCCCCACTGGCTCCTAGGCTGGTATTTTTACCACTACCTCCCTCCCCCGACCCCCACCCCATCCACACAGGGGACCTTGGGGTCCACCAGCTTCCTCTTTCCCTTTCAATGCTACCTGCCCATCTTGGCTTTACACCTGGAGGCCCCGGCTAGAGCCCAGGCCTGCGTGTGGCTGAAAGAGGATTAGAGAGAGGAAAACCCAGATCTTTGAGAGTAGGTAGTAAAAATAAATATTTCACAGGCCCAGAAATTCAGACACATGGTGGTTCTCCTTTATAGCCTGCCTCTTCCCAATGCCAAGACTCCAGGAAATTGTTTCAGACCATGGGACTGAGCTGAGCCATGTGCTACCCTGTGAGCCCCCTCCTCTGCGAATAGAGATTTCCACCCCACTCTGTGAGGACAGGGACTCTGGGCATGTCAGTCCCCTGAATGTGTGCGGCCCTCGCTTCTCCCTCAGGCCCAGGCATGGACTTGGGGGAAGAGCTGGCAGTATGGTCGGTGTGGGGCTCCCCAGCCCCTGGCAGGCAGCCCCATGTAGAAGGTGTCCCATTCCTCCATCTGCCAGGACAGGGGTCCTCAAACATCTCTCTTGGGAATCTCCTGAGAGAATTTCAAAACCCACGTGCTCCCTCGCTTCTTTTTTTTTTTTTAATGTTTTTATTTATTTGAGAGAGAGAGAGAAAGATGGAGAGAGCACGAATGGGGGAGGGGCAGAGGGACAGGGAGACACAGAATCTGAAGCAGCTCCAGGCTCTGAGCTGTCAGCACAGAACTGGACCTGGGGCTTGAATTGATGGAGTATAAGATCATAACCTGAGGTGAAGTCAGATGCTTAACCGACTGAGCCACCCAGGCGCCCCTAATTTCATATATTTGTAATGTTTAAAAGTCCATTATGTGTCCCCTTGTCATATTTATCTGCCATAACAATGGTGTATAAATTTGAATTGTTTTCATTTTCCTGTGAAGAGAAAACTCTAAACTAAGTTCTTTCCTGGAATAAATTATCACAGTAATCGTTAGTAGTACCAATTGATCAGAACAGCACAAATACATCATATTTTAATAAATGTTAAACATAAAAGTATAATCAATCCTACTAGGAATGTATCTCAATGAGATGGAGGTCACTGCTCTTTTTAATTAATGAGCCCACTAATGAACGTTACCTCCTGCCAGACTGAGATAGAATTCAGCATTAATTCCACTTTCATTTTTTAGTAGAGGGAAAGGTTGAGAAACCGTGCTCCCAGAAATAAGTAAACGGAACTAGATGCCATACAATCACTGAGCTCCTTCCAAGTTCTTTGCTCAAAGCCTCAAGGTGATCTGCTAACAAAAACGACTTCTCTTGGCATATTAGCTGACAGTTTGGTTCCGTTGTCCTTTAATGTTGTTGAAAGCGAAGACTTGGACACCACTGGACTTGCAAAAGCCTTGGTTACCCGGTCACTGGCATATCTCCTTTTTCAGCACCTAGTCAGTATCTCAAGCTGTTCTTTTGGTCACTGTCCTCACCCCCAGTACTTTTACCCTGGGGCAACGTTTTGATTTCCGGATTTGGAAAGATTCTCTTAACACCATCAATACTCATACCCTGTGGACAGTCCTCATGCACACGTAGGGTTGCCCGGACCCCTGTTAGAACACCGCTGTCCTAGAATAACTGGAGGCATTATTGCACGGAGCCAGGCTGGGTTCAAAATTGGCTCTGTCACTGACTAGCTGTGTGACCTCGGGCAAGTTTCTTAACCTTTCTGAGCCTTAGTTTTCTGATTTTGTTTTGTCTTCTAAAGGGTAATGATAGCAGGGTCTTCTCATAGAATGTTGGTAAAGGGCCATGAAAGAGTGCTTAGCACAGGGCTGGGCGCGTGGGTAAGTGCTTGGTGAAGGGTAACTCCTAGTTTCTTGGCCTCGGTGCAAGCAGCGACCCAGGAATGCTGCCATCTCCGTGTGCTCCCTGTCCAAGCTCTCCCTCCAGGTCTGTCCCCCCTCCCATAGGAGGGACCCCGCCCTCCCAGGGTGCTGATACCCCCTTTCTGTGTTTGGTTTCTGGCAGGTGCGGCAATACTGTTCCCCGGAGGTAACCAGCCCCCCTCTGAAGAGAGTCACCCCACACCCGGCTCCTGTATTTATTACCGGCACACTCTCAGTTACCTCCCTGCTGACACCTGCCCTCTATTTATTAGCCAATTGTATCCCTGCTGAATGACTTGCTTCCTCCAAGATGAGGGGCAGGGAGGGACAGGACCCTCAGGAATTCAGTGCCTTAAACAGAACGTGAGAGAAAGAAGGAAGGCAGCCACCGACCCACGTGTGCTTCGGTTGCGCAGGAAGCACACAGACGTGCGGCTTTGTGAGGGGCACGTCAGGGCCCGGCGAAGTCCTGGAGCAGGAGACAGGATGGGACCTGCGGCCTGTTCCGGCCTTGGGGCCTTGGGCTGCGCGGACCAGCAGCGCTGGCTTTGGGAGCTCCGAGCCCAGGCGGGGGTGGAGAGGCCTGCTCTGACGCCTGGGCCCAGGCTGGAGGGGAGCCGGGGATGGAGGGGCCCTGCTCTTTCCTCCTCCGGGCCGCAGCCCCGCACCCTGGAGGTCCTCCGGTTCCGCTCTGGAGACCAGTGCTTGCCTGGGGACCTTTGCCATTCCTCACACCCTAGGTCTGTCCTGACATCTTGCCACTGCTTGTGCCGGGACATTGTCCTTTGTGGTCCAGGCATCACTACCTGCCCCTCTCAGGGACACGAGCAAAGAGACGGCCCTAGGCTGGACGCGGAGCAAGCCGCCCCTCCGTGGCTGTCTGACCGCCAAGCCAGATTCTCTTGAATAAAGTATTCTAGTCTGGAAAGAGCTTTCCCGGGGGCGTGTGTCTGCCGGAGCAGTGGGTGACAGCGGCAAAAACATGGAAGCAGGACAGAAAAAGGGAGGATGTGCTCGGGGCAGCTCCGGCCACTCCTGCGGCCCCTGAAGTGTCTTCTCCCTCGCTGCTTCAGGCAAAACCCTGGGGTCCACTCCTCCTATCATGAGGGGTTCCCAGTATGTAATCTTGGCCTCAAAGTGGGGGCCCTGGCCCCAGCCACCCTGATCATCCTCAAATTCAAGAGCACACCCCCTCTCCCCTTCCCCCAGGGCCGTCCCACCGTCGGTCCAGGGCCTGGCCCTCTGGGCCCAGCATGAATGGGGCTCCCAGGCTTCCCCCTGCCCTTTGGGTACGATGTCCTGGCTGCTACATCCCCTGCCTGCTGGAGCTGCTGCATGCAGGTGGGGATCCACAGATGCTGCCCAATTTCTTCTTCCTTCTACCTCCCCTCTTCCTCTGCCTTCCTCCTGAACACCTTGGAATGAAAACTTTTTTTTTTTTCAGTCCAAACCACATGCTATCAGATTCCCACCTGCCTCTGACCTGCAAGGCATGTGTGTGTTTATGTTGTGTGTGTGTGTTGTGGGAGGGGGAATTTCCCACTTCTGTCATTTGAAGTGGCTCAGGACAAACCCACCAGGACCCAGTAGACAGGGGCTGGCCTCAGGCTTTGGAAGGAAGCCATGGACAGTCTTGTAGGGGTGGGGTAGGGTGGGGTGGGGTGGAGCAGCCCTGCTGAGGCAGCCGCCCTCGGCAGTGTGTTCACTGAGGCCTGCCCCCCGCCACCCCCAGACGGTCTGGTCAGAATGTGCTTCTGGCATGGTCACAGAGGGTTTGTGGGCCGGCCTCAGGGGACACACTACAGGAGAGATGCACTTCTCTCCTACTTCTCCCCTCCTGGGCTGCAGCCTCCTGAGCCACTGCCTTCGACAGACTGAAAGCTGTAAGAGCACCCCTTCCCCTCGGCCAGGCCTTTGGCTCAGCTCCAGGGACCCCGACCTGGCCCTGGTAGCATGTCCAAGGCCCTCAGCCCCACAGGGCCGTTCACGTGGAGGTCAGCCTCCCTACCCCAGTGACCCCTGGAGAGAGCTAAACAGACACCAGAGAAACTCCCAGAGGCCAGAAGTGAAAATCTGCATCTGTGGCCAGGAGGCTCACAGCAGGGAACGAGTAGGAAAGGAGCTGGCTGGTCCATTTGACCATACTGGCAGCCCCTTAGAGCTTGGAGGGCCTTCTTCCTTTGCTCGTTACACGTCTGTGGGGCACCACCTATGCACCTGACACGGTCCGAGGCACCAGGGTTCAGTGGGGGAATAAAACGTGCGAGGACCGGCTCTTATGTATCTTATATTTGAGGAGAGAGACAGACTATATGCTGCAAGACATTGGGTGGACTTTTCCGATGCTCAAATTGATGACTAGACCCAGCTAAGGGAAAAGGGGTCTTAGGTGTGTCACACTCTAAAACGAAGAGAAACTATTTGGGGTTGGACACATCTGCCTATAAGATTTACTATGAGATGGCTGGTGGCCCCAAACACCACCCAGCACCCCCTTCCTCAGTCTTCACAAACAGAGATCAGGGAAGGGGAGGGGAGAGATGGGGAGGCAAGGTCACTGGAGACCTGGGTTGCTGGCCCCTTCCCGTCCTCTCCCTGGAGCTGGATTTGCTGTGTGCAGATTAGCCCATGTGCTGTCTGGATGGCACCGGGGGGAGTGGAGAACGGACGGGTGACAGAGGACAGAGAGAGGGGCATCCAGCAGGAATTTCCCATGGGTCAGGGGGACATGGTGAGAGGTGAATGCCCCTGAGCTGCCACGCCCATGTTCTCCTGACAGGAAAAGCTGCAGGTGAGGAGATCCCACAGGATATGGGCTGTGGATGTGGGGTTGGGGCAAGAGCTGAGTGGGGGGTGTCAGATATAGAGCTGGAAGGGGAGCACATCCGGGAACAGTGCTGTGGGATGCCCTGCGGTGTGCCCCACAAGAGAGTTGGCCTCCAGATGCCCATCACGCCAGATGCATTCATAGCCTGAGAAGACGTGGCCACAGCAAGCATGCCTTTCCCCCAGTCACTGCTTCCTGACACCGTGCAGAAGAAGAGAAAGGAGCTGTGGAGAGGGCAAGGTGGGGTACAAGGGCCGACCATGCCCATGCCCTCCCTGCTCCCTTGGGCCAAAGGCACACCCTGCCTGAGGGAGGAAAATGGGTTGGTCTTAAATTGGATACTAGGTGGCTCAGTTGGTTAAATGTCTGACTCTTGGTTTTGGTTCAGGTCATGATCTCTTGGTTTGTGGGTTCGAGCCCCTCATTGGGCTCCACACTGATCACACGGAGCCTGCTTGGAATTCTCCTTCTCTCCCTTTCTCTCTCTGCCCCCCTCCCCCGTTTGTGCTCCCTCTCTCAAAATAAATTAATAAACTTAAAAAAAGAGATCTCCCCAAAATGCTATTAAGAGACAGGAAAAGGACAGTCAACAGAGTTCATCTAGAAAACAATGATGAGGGGAAAAAGCTAGTTTGTTTTATGCCCACTGTTTGCCCAATGAGCAAGTTACACATGTAAACAAAAAAAATAAGAAAATGTCTTTTTGCCAAAATGTGGTTCTGGCATATTAGAGATGTCCTTGAATTCTTTGCCCTTACTCCCCTCAAGAGGTAAGGTCTCTGTTCCATCCCTGAGAATCCAAGTTGGCCTGGATCTTCTCCCTATGTCAGAAGGGACCCAACATGATTCCTTTTGAGCTAACTGACAGCTTCTGCCTCCATCTCTTGGAAGACTGAGCCGCCATGTGAGAAGTCTAATTATCGTGAGGCCACCATGCTGGAAGGAAGCCCAAGCCAGCCATATAAAGGGAGAGAGAGAGAGAGAGAGCACATGAGCAAGAAGGAGAGAGGGCTCAGCCAGCTTCCAGCTGTTCTGGCTCGCAGCCATTAAGCCATCACAATGGAGGCCCCAGACCCCACAGAGCAGAGGTGAGTTGTACCCACTGTGCACCGTTTGATTTCCTCGCCTTCAGAATTGTGAGATACATTCATATCTCACAATTTGGGGCCAATATGTCATGCAGCAATAGAGGCTGAATAGAATATAAGGAAAATAAGGAAAGGTGATGAGATTGTGTTTGGAGGAAGCTACTTTAGAACCAGGAGGTCATGGATGGCTTCTGTGAAGGTGACATTCACGATGAAGTCTGAAGGACAAGGAGGAGTTGGTCACATGAAGATCATGAATAAGAGCACTCAGCCAGAGGACACAGCGGTGCAAAGGCATGGAAGGAATCCTGTGACGAGCAAGGAGCAAGGGTACAAGATGTGATGTCAGGTGGGCAGGGGTTGGGTCATGAAGGGCTTTACAAGACAGGGCGAGGAGGTGGAATTCTAGTATAAAGTGGAGAGAAACCAATGGAGGGTTTCAAGCAGGGGGTGAAGTGATAGTAGGTATGTTTTTGTAAGATCCCTCTGCCTTCTGTATGGAGAATGGACTCTAGGGACACCAGACCAGAGGTACTAGAGTTTGGTCCTAATTATGCATGTGAGCTGGCTATCCTGATCATTCATTCATTCATGAGCATTCTTTGGGCCTACCATTAGTGGGCTTTTGTAGTAGATATTGAGGGGGGGCAGTCAAAATATATTATCATGTGAAAATCTTCCCAGTTTCCTGCTTAATAAAGAAAATCCCACTCTGCAAGAAATAAGGAAGGTAAGGAGAGAGGCCTTAGCTAGAGAGGCTAAGTTGATCTACTGAAGCACTAAGAGAGAGAAGGGAAATAACAGGGCTCAGGGCTAGATCAAGGGAAAGAGCTTGGGGTTCTGTTACAGAGGTCCTGATGACTGAAGGTAATTTGGGAATGAGGGAGGGGTTGGGGGAGTGCTACTCTACTCCCCTCATGTTGAAGGCCCTAATATTCTTTGAGAGATACTCACTTAGAGAGGCACCAGGCAGAGACTGAGCCCAGTGGAATACCAAATTAGCTAGGGTTACCCAGAGATAGGTAAGATATTGTTTCTGATCTTAAAAACTTAGTCAAAGGAATCACATATGTGCTGTGTGCAGGCAATTAGAATAAAAGGAAAGAAGGCCCCATGGTTTAAGCAAATGCAGATGAAGTGCTACTAAAGAAATCTGAGGTATTTGGGATGCTTGGTGCATGGGGAAAACCAGGGCCGGCTATGCAGAGTTGGTGGCACTAGAGCTGGGACTTGAGGAAAGGCAAGATTGAATGTGGGGAGATGACCGGAGAAGGCATTCTAGTGGGAGCGCCCTGCCCTCCCCACCCCACCCCCCGACCATTACAAAGGGCCCAGAGGTGGAGGATGCATCAATGTATAGGGATTTTCAAGTGGTTCCGTTTGGCTAATGTTTGAGGTACATGAAACAGAAGAGTGATGGAAAAGGCCAGAAGGTAGCCCTGGCCCTGGATGCCACCCTAGGGAGTTAGGGCTTTGCTAGACAGTGGGAAGCACTGAATGTTTTTTTCAGCTAGAGAGTGACATGATTTAGGGACTCAAGGCTGAAAGAAAATTTACAAAGAATCTACTTCTACCTCCACTTTTTATAAATGAGGAAGCTGAGGCCCAGGCTTGTCCACAGCCATGAAAGTTAAGCAAGCCAGCATTTAAAAATTTATCAGTGAGCAGGATAGAGGAAAGGAAGAGGGGAGAACTGTGTCTACTCCAAGCCCGAGAAGCAGGCCAGACATCTGTGAGGTGGGTTGGGTGGGTCGACAGAATAAGGCCCCTCCACAAACTCTGGTGGGAAATCAAGGCTCCAGACAGGTCAGTAACAGGACAGAGCCTTGGTGTGGAAAGATGGCTGGCTGTCAGCACCAGAGCCCAGCAGCTGTTTTCCAACAGAAGGCTGACCCTTCCCTTCCCTGAGAGAAGCCTGGAGGGCTCCTCCTCCCCCTGACATTGGCTCTGACTGAAGCAGATGAGGGCCTGGCCCCCGCTAGCCGTCTGCGGGCCCCACCTCAGAGGCCATGGGGCTCCAGGCCAATAAGAGGTATGTTTCCAGTCCCTGAGGTAACTTTGTTACCATGGAGACCACCTGGCAGGCCAGGCAGGCCCGGAGGAGGTTGGGAGCTTCCTCACAGAGTTGGCCACCCCCTCCCTGTTCCTCCCACTGAGAGGGTGTTACCTGGGTGATGGGGAGAGGGTCCTGCCACCCTACTGACCTCATGGAGGCACTCTGGGAATCAGCCCCGGTCTCTGTGAGCCTCCCCGACCCCCATGCCGCAAGCCTTCCCTTTCTCCTCTCTCCTCTGGGGCCCCTGCCCCACCCGCCCCGCAGTCAGCCCGGGCCACCCATGTGGGCAACTCGGTAACAGGAGCCTCTGTGCTCACACAGCGCCCGGTTGTTTACAGACATGTGACCGCCTGCCGCCCAGCTGGGGTCTGAGGTTTAGACTGTAATGGTGATAGCCTCCTCTCGTTGAGCTCTTTATCCCTTTCAAAGCAGTCTCGGCCACTGTCCTCTTCTGAAGCCTGTGAAGTCTTCTCACTTGCCAGATGAGCTGGAAGGAAGTACTGAGAGGGTGAGAAATCTGCCCCAAGAATTTCAGCCCCAGAGTCTCCCCAGAGGGTCAGGGGCTGACAGCTGGCTGCGGCTGGGCTGCCTCCGCTACCAGGCAGGAAAGGCAGAAGCTGAGGCCGCACAGGCTCTGATTCACTTGTGCTCTAGGGCCGGCCTTGGGGGGTCACGGAGGCCATCACCCGTCACTCAGTGGGGAGGACCCAGTCGGAACCTGGGGGTGCATCCTGGAGCTGTCGTCGGAGATCAGCTGGAGATACTACTGGTCACCAACCCTGGAGGAGCCGTTGTGGGGGGGGGGGCTTGGGGGGGCTCTTCTTTCACAGCCAAGTTCTGAGTCCAAATCCAGGTGTCTTTGAGATCCTTTAGAAACCAGTCCTAGCCAATCAAGATTGGCTCCAGCAACAAAGGCACCACATGGTCTGTTTCACCGAGACCCATTCTCTGGAGAATCCTAATACACTATGATACATTGGTAATATATGTTTTGTGTGGGTGTTTAAAAAATATAAATATAAAAGGCATCACATTGGAGGCAGCATTTGAGAACTGTTTCTACTCAATATGTTTGGAGATCTTTATGTAGGTGTAGACTTCCCTGCCATCCCCTCCCCTTTCCCCTGAGAGTAAAACATTCCCATCCTCTTAGGAGAAGCCTGATTGTTCTGGGGCTATAACTAGTAACACTGAGAACCAGTCATACACCCGGTTTATATGACCATTTGTTTCAGTAACCTAAAACCGTGCGCTTAACCAGTAATAGCACACCCCAAAAATAACCAGTCAGCAACAGCCTCACTTCGTTGACCATGCTTCTAGGGCTACAGGTCAACCAGTTTCTGTACGCTCTGAAAGCTGACCTTCCCTCACCCCCCCTCCCCCCCCCCCCCCCCCCCCCCGCCAGCATGCTTCCCAGAGTTAACCCTCTGCCTTGCTCAGACCCTGTGCCTTGTAAGTCAGCTCTCCCTTGCTTAAGCAAGCAGTAAACTCAGCCTCTTGTTTCAGATTTTGAGTGGTTGCATCTTCCTTCAATACTTCCCCCAGCTGAAGACTTTCTTGTGATCTAGCACACATTGAAATGAAGAGCTTCCGTGAAATGAAATTCTTCCAAAACCCAGAGAACGAACAATGTATTTTTTCCCCAGTTTTGTTATAAATTTGGTCAAAGCTGAGGCCAGAAGCCTTCCTTCTTTTCCCACTGCCCTCCTTCAATATCCCAGCCAGTTCCCGGGCCTACGTGGTGCATCCGCAAGATGAATAAACTTCTCTTTTTGTATTATGCTGCATGATGTGGAAAGACCCCATTTCCCACATCAGACATGAAGATGGAGAGAAAGGAAGTGGTAAAGGAGTCATCCTGCTACATATACTTAATTTCTGATATCAAAGTGAGATTGTCATATACTCATTATCTTATAACTTGCTTTTTTTAAAGTTTATTTATTTTGAGAGAGAGAGCACACACACGTGAGCGTGCAAGTGGGGGAGGGGCAGAGACGGGAGGGAGAGGGAGAATCCCAGGCAGGCTTGTCCCTGTCAGTGCAGAATCCACAAACCATGAGATCATGACCTGAGCCAAAGTTGGACACTTAAACAACCGAGCCACCCAGGCACCCAAACTTTCATTTTTAACTTAATATACCACAGACATTTCTCCATGACATTAGATGTTCTTCAACAATATGAGTTTTTAAGTGCTGAATTGCACTGCATCATTTGGATATCCCATAATTTGATTAATTGATCTATTGCTAGAGAGCGTCTCTTTTGTTGTTGTTGCTATAAGAAACAATGCAATGGTGAACATCCTGTGGCTTCGTCTTTGTGTGTAGATCTTTCTCATCATAAAAACAGCAGCAAAAATCAAACCCAATCTTCAATTGCTCATTCTTCTTCCAGGTGCCTCCCGATTCCCATCTCGTGCTAAATTTAGATCCACAAGTTTCCATAGTTTCCTATACTTTCGGTCTCTCTCTTGGCATTTCCACTCACTTCCATAACTCAGCCCTGAGAAAGCGACCCCAGGGATTTCCATGGAGTCAGCAGCATTTCCGGTTTTTATCGTGCTCAACAGCACACGCTGTTCTTAGAATTAGACTCCCAGTCTGTTCCTCAGCCTGGAAGGCTCCAGGAGATCTGGCCTCTGCCTGCCTCTAGCTTCATCCCATGTGAGACCTTTCTCTAAGGTCCCACACACTTGTCTTTTCTTAGTTCCTGGAATTCGTGGTGCCCCCTCAGGGCCTTTGCTCATGCTGTTTCCTCTGCCAGGAAATCCCTTCCCCCCTCCCACACCCAACCTTGCTGACTAATACACATGGCATCAGCCATAGCTCAGCCCAAAGGCACTTCCTCAGGAAAGTCTCCCAAACACTCCTCCCCATCAAACTGGGTCTACTCCACCATTAAAGCCTTATGAAGCCCTGTCTTCTTCCTTGCAGTGCTACTCACTATATTCTGAAATAATTCTATAATTTCACATATATATTTAATAAATAATTTTTAAAACATTAATCTTAATATCACAAATAATATACCAGTTTCCTTTGTTCCTTATAAACAGAACATTACAGGTATTGTAGAGCCTGCTTGCTCCCTCCCCTAAGTCAGTCCCTGGCCTCCGCCACTGTTGGGAGCTTTGTGTGATCGGTACAGGAGTCCAGGACTTGGGTTCTGGAGCCAAACTGCTAAAGTTTGATGCCTACTCCTCCTACTTCTTAACTGGGAGTGTAAGCAAGTCACCTAGCTGCTTATTGAGTATTAAAATACTTAAATAAAAAAGTCTCAGTTTGATCATCTGTAGGGTAAAGATCAATGACAGTAACTAATAGTGCAATTTTAAAATTCATGTAAGATGTTCTAGGGGCGCCTGGGTGGCTCAGTCGGTTAGGCATCTGACTTTGGCTCAGGTCACGATCTCACGGTTCGTGGGTTCAAGCCCTGTGTCAGGCCCTGTGCTGACAGCTAGCTCAGAGCCTGGAGTCTGTTTCGGATTCTGTCTCCCTCTCTTTGACCCTCCCCTGCTTGCGCTGTCTCTATCTCTCTCTCAAAAATAAATTTAAAAAAAATTAAAAACTTAAAATATCTGTAAGATGTTCTATGTTAGGTGAGTAGGATAAGTGCCAGGCTCATAGCAAATGCTGAATAGATGTTGGACATTACTAATTGTGATCACTAATTTTGTGTGTCAACTTGCCTGGTTCATGGGTTGTCCAGAGATGGGGTTAAACATTATTTCTGGAGAAATAATATCAGTGAGAGTCTTTCCAGATGAGAGTAGCATTTGAGTTGGTAGACTCGGTGAAGCAGATGACCTTCCCCAGTGTGGGTGGTCATCATCCAATCCACTGGGAGCCTGAACAGAACAAATTGGCAGAGGAAGGGAGAACGGCTCTCTATGCTAACTGAGCTGGGACATTGATCTTCCCCTGCCCTTGGCCTGGGACTTACACCCTCGGTGTTCCCGGGTCCCAAGCTTTGGACTTGGACTGGAACTTACTCTATTGGGCCTCCTGGTTCTCAGGCCTTCAGACTCAGACTGGAACTATGCCCCAGGCATTTCTAGGTCTCTAGCTTACAGAGGGCAGATTGAGCATCTTCTTGGCCTCTGTAATTGCATGAATCAATTTCTTATAATAAGAAATCTATCTACCTACCTACCTACCTATTAGTTCTGTGTCTCTGGAGAATCCTAATACACTACAGTATATCGATAATATATAGTTTTGTTTTGTGTGGATGTTAAAAACATATAAGTATAAAAGGCATCACATTGTAGGCAGCATTTGGGAACTGTTTCTACTCAATAGGTTTTGAGATCTTGCATGTCCATACATATGGATTTAGTTCTGGTTCATTCTTTTGAAAGGCTGAATAATAATAATAATAATAATTCAATATAAAAAGCCACATTTTATTAATTCACTTCTATACTGATATAGAATTTGAATTTTTTCCCCTAAGATATTGAAGTGGGACTCTTAACTGACGGAGCCACCCAGGCACCCTTAAACTTGGATTTACTTTTGTATATGAGTAGCAATTAATCATGTGATTATCTACCTGGAAAACCCATTGGCAAGTTCAGCAAAGTGGCTGGACACAAGATCAATATTTACAAATAAAACTATTAGTAATAACAATTTGAAAATGTAATAATAATTTTAAAATCCCATTCACCATAGTAACAAAAACTTTAAAGTACTTATGAGTGAACTAATTAGAAATATATATACCTTCATGGAGAAAACAATAAAATTGTATTGAAAGACACAAAAAAGTCCCAGATACATGGAGAGATGTTCTGGGTACAGTAATAGGATGACCACCATTATAAAGATGTCAATTCTCCCAGATTAATTTAAATTCCAATGTAATTCCAGTCAAAATCCAAAAGGAGTCTTTGTAGAATGTGAAAGGATGCTTCTAAAATTCATATGTTTTTTAAAAGAATAATAAAATTCATTTCTATAAGTTAATTCAGTTGTGCCAATACCTCTCATGAAGAATCCATCCTTTCCCACTGGTTTGAAACTGCTTCTTCATCCAAAGTCAGATCCTTCTAGATGCATGTGTTGGGTTTTGGATTCTGCATTTCTCACTTGCACCTGTTGTCCAACACAAGTCATGACACAGGGAGGAGTTCCTTGTTGTTTCTCAAGGTCACTATGGGAGGAGGGAAGGGGCAGGGTGACTTATGTACTGGCTTTTGAAGCTTTCATCCTGAAGCAACATGTTCTGTCCATTAGCACCTCAGAGCAAGTCCCGTGTCCCAGCATAACTTCCAAAGGGACAGAGAAGTGTGATCCTACCCCATGCCAGAGGGACAAGTGGACCGTAGGAATGCTTCTAATGCACCACCATTAAATATGGTGTTTGCTCTAAGTTTCTGGTAGATAACCCTTTATCAAGTTAAGAAGTGAGTTCATAAGTTTGTTTAGAGTTTGTTAAGTATAGAGTTTGTTCTTATCATGAATGAGAATTAAATTTTATCAAATGACTTTTTGACATTTGTTTGATGTACAAATGTTATTTCTCTCCCTTAATTTGTTAAGGCATTTATGTACACTGTTTCTCTGCGCAGAACATTCTTCTCCACTGCCTTCTCCAAACACTTTTTTCTGGTTAATTCTTTCTCATCCTTCAGAGATCATTCATTTATTCAGCAAATATTTATTGAGCAATACTGTGTGCCAGATATAGTTCTAGCCACTTAGGATAAGTCAATGAACAACGCAGATGAAGGCCCTTGCCTCTGTGGATCTTACTGAGGGCAAGGAATGAAAATAAACACATAAGAGTAAGTAAGGAAATGGTATTGCATACGCACGGGGTTGAGTACAATGGAAAAGAAGCAGAAGCGGGTAAGGGAGATGGGGTGTTCGGAGGGTATAGTCAAGAGTAGGTCTCTCAAGAAGGTGACCACCAGGGCAATGACTTGAAGCAAGGCTAGGGTTTACCAGCTGGATACTCCAGGCAGAGGGTAGCTGCCCGGCAAAGTCTCCAGGATCGGAGCTGCCAGGTGTGTTCCAGAAGCAGTGAGGAAGCTTGAGTGGCTGGTATTGAGTGAGGTTGGAAGAAATGACGCTGGAGAAATAGTGGAGAAGGGTGCCCATGAGAGCCTTGGAGGTCATTGTAGCGACTCTGGGTTTTTCTCAGCATAAGGATGGGAGCCCTGTAGACTTTTGAGCAGAAGAGGGACAGAATCTGACTTGTGCTTTGAAAGGATCCCCTGACCCACTGCTAAGAACTGCTTCCAGGGTGGCAAAGGTAGAAACAGGGAGACAGGAGGCATCTCCAACAGTAAATCAGGTATGAGATAAAGATGCCCTACCAAAGTCAGACCAGTGGAGATGGAGGTGAGAAGCGGAGGGGGAGAGAAGTGCTCAGAGGCTGGATATACTTTACAGGGAAAACCAGCATGATCTTCTAGTGGATTGTACGTAGAGTGTGAGAAAATGGGAGAAGCCAGGATGGCTCCAAAATTTTTGGCCTGAGCATTTGGAAGGATGGAGGTGGAAGATGCTTTAGAAGGTTTCAGGTTGGGGAGGATCAAGAGTTCAGTGTTTTTATTCTCCATTATGATAATTTTTTTTTTTTTTACAAATAGTTTATTGTCAAGTTGGTTTCCATATAACACCCAGTGCTCATCCCCACAAGTGCCCTCCTCCATGCCCATCACCCTTCCCTTCCCCCCCACACCCATCAGTCCTCAGTTTGTTCTCAGCATTCAAGAGTTTCTCATGGTTTGCCTCTCTCCCTCTCCCCCGCTATTTCCCCCCTTCTTCTCCCCCTTGTTCCTCCTTTAAGTTCCTCCTAATCCTCCTATACATGCAAACATATGATATTTGTCCTTCTCTGCCTGACTTATTTCGCTCAGCATAACACCCTCAAGGTCCATCCATGTTGCTGCTACACATGGCCAGATTTCATCGTTTCTCATTGCCATGCAGTATTCCATCGTATAGATAAACCATATCTTCTTGATCCATTCATCCGTTGATGGACACTTAAGCTCTTTCCATGTTTTAGCTATTGTTGAGAGTGTTGCTATGAACATTGGGGTACATGTGCTCCTATGCATGTGATAATTTTTTTATAAAGATATAATTCACATATAAAATTCACCTGTTTATAATTTTTTTAAACATTTATTTATTTATTTTTGAGAGAGAAGGAGAAAGAGAGCCTCGAGAAACAAGTGCAAGTGAGGAAGGGGCAGAGAGAGAGGGAGAGAGAGAATCCCAAGAGGACATGGTCAGTGCAGAGCTCGATGCAGAGATGGAACCCATGAACTGCGAGATGGTGACCTGAGCCAAAATCAAGAGTCAGACGCTTAACCGACTGTGCAACTCTAAAATTCACTTCTTTAAAATGTGAATTTGGTGGGTTTTAGTGTATTTACAAGTTGTGCAACCACCACATTATCTAATTCCAGAACATTTGTTGATCCTGAAAAGAAATCCATAGTCTTTAGCCACTTCCGAATCCCCCTTCCCTGAAATCTATTTTCTGTCCCTACGGATTTGACTATTCTGGAAACTTTATATTAACAGAATGATACAATTTTGGTCTTTTGTGTCTGCTTTCTTTTACTCAGCATAATGGTTTCAAGGCTCACCCACCTAGCACAACTTCATTATCTTTTATCTAAAAAGTATTTCATTACATGGATACACCATGTTTTGTGTATCTATTCATCAGTTGATGGATGTTTGTATTATTTCCATTTTTTGGCTATTATGAATGATGCCACTATGAACATTCATGTGTAAGTTTCCATGTGGTCATATGTGTTTGATTTTCTTGAGTATAGATAGGCCTCTGAGTGGATTGCTCAGTCATATGGTAACTCCTTTTGAAGAACCGTCGATTTGCTTTCCATAGGCACTGCACCATTTTACACTCTGACCAGCAATGTTTTGACAGTTCCACCTTCCCCAGATCCTTGCCAACACTTGTTTTTGTCCATCTTTTTTATTATAGCCATCCTCGTGGGTGTGAAGTGGTATCCCATTGTGGTTTCAGTTTGTATTCCCCTAATGACTAATGATATTGAAGATCTTCTCAAGGGCTTATTGGCCATTTGTATATCTTCTTTGAAGAAGTGTCTACTCAAATCCTTTGTGTGTTTTAAATTGGATTATTTGTCTTTTTATTGTTGAATAGTAAGAGTTCTTTATATATTCTGGATGCTAGAGCCTTATACGATAAATGATTTGCAAATGGTTTCTCCAAACCTGTGGGCTCTGTTTTAAGACTTTAGTTCTGGACTTGTCGAATTTGAGATGTTTTATTAGGCTATTAATTGTTTAAGTCTGGTAGAAGGGTGAAGGCTAAGAGATACAGAAGATATAAAATATCTGTAAATAGATAAATAGATATACAGAATCAGCATATGGAAGAATACTGTTTAAAAGCATAAGACTTAGTGCAATCCTCATCAAGAGAGTAAGGATGGAGGGAATGAAGATATCAAGGGCTGAACCCTGGGCCTCTGTAACATTAGAAGCTGGAGAGGAGAAGAGCCACCAAAGGAGGCTGAGAAGTGAGACAGGAGGTAACCAAGAGAGGGTGGGTCCAGAAGCCTGGGGAGAAAGGGATGATCACCTGGGTTGGAAGCTCCTGAGAGGTCAGGAAAGGTGAGGACCAAGAAATGACCACTGGGTTTAGCAACAAACAGGTCATTGGTAACTTGACCAAGAGCAATTTCAGAGGAATATTGAGGGAGAAACCTCATCAGAGCAGGCTCAAGAAAAGCAGGGGCGCCTGGGTGGCTCAGTCGGTTAAGCATCCAACTTCTGCTCAGGTCATGATCTCACGGTTCCTGGGTTCGAGTCCTGCATCGGGCTCTGTGCTGACAGCTAGGTCAGAGCCTGGAGCCTGTTTCAGATTTTGCGTCTCCCTCTCTCTCTGACCCTCCCCTGCTCATGCTCTCTCTCTCTCTCTCAGAAATAAATAAAACATTAAAAAAAAAAAAAAGAAGAAGAAGAACAGGAGACAGTGAGAGCCTAGACCTCTTTTTTCAAGGAGCTTTGCTGCAAACCCAGGATGGTAGATAGAGAAGTGAGGCCACAATTGGTTTTGTTTTGTTTTGTTTTGTTGTATTGTTTTGCACTTAAATGAGAGAATCAGCATTATGCTTGTATCGATGGGAATGATTCAGTGGGAGGCAAAAATTAATGATAAAGGAGGGGGAGAATTGTTGCAGCTGTGACCTTGAGTAGGTGACAGGACAGGGTTGATCCCAATTGGAGGGCTGGTCTTTGATGGGGCATAGACAGGTCATCTGTGGGAAGAGGTGGGGAGGCCGTATGTGGGTGCAGACCTGGTGGGTGGGCAGACGGCAAGAAGGAGAAGAAAACTCCAATGATTTCAAAGGAAGGAAGAAGCATCTCTCTGGCTGGGAGTGAGGATTGGGGAGGATGTGTGGGGATTCAGGAAAGGGGAACTCTATGGTGGGGTATGTAGGGGAGAGCAAGTGCACTAAGTAAGGACAGTATGAGTCCAGGCAGCATTGGGGTGCAGGTGAGGTCTGTACGCCCAGTTCAGATATCACTTCCTCCAGAAAGCCTCTCACCCCCAGATCAGGTTATTCCTCTCATAGGCCCTGTGGTGCTTTCATACAGCTCTGATCACAACTGGAATGAAATATCAACGGTATTCTTTAGTTCCTTACTCCGTGTCCCTCCCTAGACTGTAAATCCCTTGAGGATGTGAGCAGACTGACTATTCCAGCGCTGTATCTCAGCAGCCCGTTCCTCCTGCCTAGTAGTGTCTCAATACAAAAGTATTAAGTAGTTGAATGAATGAATGAATGAATGAAATCATGAGCAAAGTCCCAGAAGTGGCATGCGTGTTTTCTAGACCGCCGAGATTTCTGAAGCAGGCCCTCCCTTGACCCTGGGTGATTATGGACGCCTCGCTCCTCCGCCACACTCTCTTACCGCCCCCGCCCGCCCGCCCCCCACCCCCCCCGTCTTCACTCCTTCTCCCAGCGCCCCTCATCTCAAGACGCTGGGGCTTTAAGAGCCGGCAGAAACGGAGCCAGGTGCTGATTGGTGGTTTATTCTAACACGCTGGAGGATGAGCTCATCTGCAGCCAATGGCCAGGCTGCACCCAGGCCAGACCCCTGCACCTGGCTGGAGGGCGCAGGGCGGCCGCGGGTGGTTCACGATCGCCCGCAGGAGTGAAGGGGCGGTGGCGGCAGGGGTAGGTCTGGCCGCGCGGACCGAGCTCCTAGCTCGGGCAGGTACGGGGTTTGTCCGGCTCCTCCTCCATCCCTCTGTCCTCCAGGCGACGGCGTCCCTTCCTCTCACTCCTCCATTACGCTTTCCTCGGCCCGACGGCGCGGCGCGGCGCACCGTGCGAGCAGGGACTCGCCGGCTCGGCTCGCCGCTTCCCTTGTCCAGGCGGCGCGGCCCCGCATCCCTGCCCCACAGGACAGAGCCCGGCGGGATGGCCCCTGAGGCCGGGGCCTGACTCGAGCAGCCCAGGCCATCGGCCTCGGCACCCTCGAATACGGGCCTCAGAGCCCTGTGTTCCTGATGGCAGGGCGGAGCAAGGAGGATGAGGCTTCCCTCTCCTTCCCTCCGCCGCCTCTCCCCTCCCCCACGCTCTGGGCGGCATCCTGTCCCGGATTCAGCTCCCCGCTGGCTTGGGGATGTGGGTTTCCCTCCCCGCCCCACTCCCCGTCCCGCTCTACCTATTCCCTCTCTCTGCCGAGGCAGAAGTGGCCTAGGCTTGGAAGTGCAGACCCTGCCCTCCCCACTGGGGTCTGAGAGAGCACAGGTGCTGCTGGGGCTGCATTAGGGGGCAGAAGCATCTCTGCCGGCCCCTCTCCGAGCCCTTTCCTTTCCTGAAGCCACTGCTCCTACCCCTTTGGCCACTAGTGTCACACCCTGCTCAGGGAGGAGCTGCTGTCTGCTACTTGGAGGCCACGTGGCTTCCCTGGCCTACTTAGAGGTGGGAGGACAGGGCCACCCCCTCCCTAGGGCCGGGTTGGCTCTGTCCTTCGTTTAACTCCATCCAGAATCTGTCACTCAGTCATTTCATTTACCCACAGGCATTAAGGCCAGGCCTTGTGCCTAACTCTCTGCCAGGCTATGTGTGTGTGTGTTGGGGGGGGGGGCAGTTTTCACTTGCTGACCTTGGCACCAAAGGAAATCACTAAAGCAGGGGCAATTTATTCTGTTTAGGGAAGTGCCATCACTGAACCTTGAAGGTACATGAGATTACTGTAGGAGGAGTATGAGCAGAACAGGCAGGATGGAGGGAACAGTGTGAGGAACAGCTTCAGAGCACAGCCATCATATGTTTACTATGTACTAGATGCCAGTTTGTCTGTGGAGACCCCATGAGGGCAGCTCTGGATCACAGATACCCTCAGTTCTCTCCAGTACTCAAGAAATATCTGCTGATCTGAATCTGAATGGAAAGGAAGAGCCCTGAGCATGTTATTATTCGATTATTATCACCGTTTAGAAAACGTCTGGCTCAGTAGAAGGATGTTACCCACATTAACTCTGATCCCTCCAGCTCTTAATCTCCCAATTTTCAGTGGAGGAAATCAGGGTGCACATGGGGTGTTGTTCCCTAAAACATCTGTTTATTTCAGGTCACCACTTACAGGACAACAGCCATGAGCCTGGTGGCCTGCGAGTGCCCTCCTGACCCAGGCCTGGAGCCTGAGCCTTGCTCCCGAGCACGGTCCCAGGCCCGTGCATACCTAGAGCAGATTCGCAACCTGGTGGCTCCTGGGGCCCCGGACATGACCAAACGTGACTACCTGGTGGATGCAGCCACGCAGATCCGGCTGGCCCTGGAGCGCGATGTCAGCGAGGACTATGAGGCCGCCTTCAACCACTATCAGAACGGCGTGGACGTCCTGCTGCGAGGCGTACATGGTGAGGGCTGCGCTGGGCAGGGATGAGGGCCAGTGGGGACTGCCAGCTTAGGGCCCGCCGTGACCTCTTTCCAGCTGTGCTGAGTGAACTGTGAAGGACAGTATTAACAGCTGGCATTTACTGACCATCTTCTGTATACCAGACACTGGTCTAAGGGCTGTACCTGTATTAACTCATTTGAGCCTCACAGTAATAGAAATTATTATACATGTTGTTGATGCAGTTCCAAGTACATAGGAACTATTTTTTTTATTAATTAAAAAAATTTTTTTAAGTTTTAAATGCCTGGGTGGCTCAGTTGGTTAAGTGGCCTACTTCAACTTAGGCCATGATCTCACAGTTCCCGGGTTTGAGCTCCGCGTTGGGCTTTGTGCTGATGCTCTGGACCTGGAGCCTGCTTTGAATTCTGAGTCTCCCTCTCTCTCTGCTTGCACTCTGTCTCAACTTCAAAATAAACAAACATTAAAAAAGAAAAAAACTTAAATTTATTTTTTAAAGTTTTGTTTTGTTTTGTTCGTTTGAGAATGCAAGTTGGGGAGGGGCAGAGAGAGAATCCCAAGCAGACTCTGCACTGTCAGCACAGAGCCCAAGGCATGGCTCCAACTCAGGAACCATGAGATCATGACCTGAGCTAAAATCAAGAGTCGGACGCTTAACTGGCTGAGCCACCCAGGCACCCTTATAGGAACTATTTTTATTCCTATTTTCCAGATGAAAAAACTGAGGCACCAGGCAGTGAAATAACTTGCTTATGGTTCCATAGCTACCAAGTGGCAGAGCTGGAGTGTGACCAGTCTGGACTCCAGAGGCTGGGTGTTTGACCCAGTCCCTGTCCCTGGAGTAGGGCTGAGCTCCTACCCTGGGGCGGGGGTGGGGGTGGGGGGTGTCTTGCATTACAGTAGGGGAGGCTGATACATTTGATGATGTATAATTATGGTCTCAGGTGGGAAGAGCAATGGGGAGGAAGTGAGGGGAGAGAAGAGAGAAATTGAGGCCAGGCTGGGCTAGCATAGGGTATTTCCTAGAAGTCAAAACTTTAATCTGAGCACTGAAGAACAGTAGGTGTGTTGTCCAGCCGAAGTCCAGGTGGCGCTGCAGAGAGAGCGCGGCCTGTTCAGGGCAAATTGAGGCGTTAGTTTCCAAGCTGGGGGAGAGGCTGGCCCTGCTGTTGAGATCCCTGAGGGTGGTCAGGCTGGGGGCAGGAGTCCGCCCGGCTTCGGGCTTCCTACTCCGCCCCCTGCCAAAGGGACCTCCAGTGCCTGAGCTTCACACTGCCCCGTGAATTCGGTCGTCCACCCGGCCCAGTCCGTGCTCTGGCCTTTTCGCACTGGGCGCCCGAGGCGGCAGATGGGTGTTCTCTGGGAGCTAATGTCTCCTCTGAAAATGGACACGGAAATCCCCAGTCTGTTCTTGCCCGGGATGTGATGGCAGCCAGCGAGGTGGTGGGTGCCAACTGTGAAGTGCGGGAAGCGGAGGGTGATCACGGGTCCCAGCCCCTCCCCCCACACCCCCTTCTTCGGTGCCCCACCTGCCCGTCTGGGAAACAGTCCGCAGACCAGCCTCATGAGTAGGCAGGAGAGGCAGCGGAGGGCAGGGGGTGGGTGGCTGGAGCCGGAACCCCAGCCCCTCAAGGCCGGGGTGGGCCTTGGTGACCCCCTTGTCCCACAGTCGACCCCAACAAGGAGCGACGTGAGGCTGTCAAGCTGAAAATTACCAAGTATCTGCGCCGGGCTGAGGAGATTTTCAACTGCCACCTGCAGAGGACTCTGGGAGGAGGAGCAAGCCCGGGCACGGTGAGGGGGTGAGGGGCCCTGGAGGGAGAGCAATGCGTCACCCCTCCCCCACCCCCCAGGGCCAGAGGGCCGTCACCTCACATCCAGGCTGCAGGGCGGGGCGGGGCAGGGCTGGGCAGAGAGTGGGTGCCAGGTTCTCCCCAGGCTTCCTCTGCCCCCCACAAGCTCCTAGCTCCCTCGTCTTCAGACTCTTAGTGAATCATCTCCAGGCAAATCTCAGCCTACACAGGGTACACACGTGCGGGCGCTCGCACCGCGCGCGCGCGCACACACACACACACACACACACACACACACACACACACCCCATCCCCCCACCCCCAGTCTCAGGCCCACACAGGGTAAACACACACACACACTCAAAGTCTCCCACACCTATTTGAGCTTGAATGGGTTGCAGTGAGTGCAGCTGACCCTTGAACGAGACAGGTTTGAACTGCGTGGGTCCACTTGGATTTTCTTGGATAAATACATGGCACTATTGTAAATGTATTTTCTCTTCTGCTTTTCCCCAGAGTGGGTGCCTGGGCTGCATGCCTTGGCTCTCGAGGCATGTCCCCGAGACCCACACGTTCCCAGGTTTTCTCCCCCTCCCTGGGAGCGCCTGCCTCCTGTGGACGGGGCTTCCAACACAGGGTTTCTGAAGTCTGAGAACTCCCTGGCACTCGGAGGAGGAGGGCTGGCTGGGGGCCGGGTGTCAAGTGTGGTGTGGCCGCCCTGGACAGGTGTGGGCCAGCTCTCTACCCCCTGGGCAGCTGCTTGTACCCTGGCTCTGCCCCTTCCCATCCCCCCCGCCCCTTGCACCTGGAGGAGGGCCAGAGAAGGCAGTGCCTGAGGGGGGTTGGGCCCTGAGGCTGTGTGGTCTGTCTCCCCACCCCACCCCAGGGTTTCAGCAGCCTGAGGCTCCGGCCCATCCGCACACTGAGCTCTGCCCTGGAGCAGCTGAGGGGCTGCAAGGTGATCGGGGTCATTGAGAAGGTGAGTGAGCTGACTGCCGCGGTGAGGGTGCTGGGGGCGGGAGGTGATGGTGTACACAGATGGGGCAGATGGGGGTGGTGGGCGGGGAGAGAAAGTGGCTACCCTCACTCCTCCAGAGGGCTCCCCCCAGAGGGCCCTGAGGGCCCAAGGGGAGGAGAGCGGCTGTGTCCAGTGGTCCCCACCCCCCTTCTCCCACCGGGGCATGCATCAGTCAGGTCCTGGAGAGGAAACCGGGAACAGAAGAGGCAGTCTCTTTTCCACAGCCCTTGGCTCAGACAGAAAGCCACTCCCTCAGAGATTCAAGACAGAAGCCACAGGGGAAGCAGTGGGCAGGGTGCCCTGCTCACTCCCACATTGCCTCCCCCATCGCCTCACTCCGGACTCCAGGCCCAGGCCAGGGTCTCCCAGCCATGGGTAGCTGAGGGGTTCCTGTGGTGCAAATGCACTCCAGTCCAGAAGGCTGTCCTGTGGAGGGTCTCAGCTCCCAGAGGGGCCTCGGCAGCTCTGCCCTCCCCCGCCCCGTACTCCACACCCTCATCCCCTCATCCTGACCCCATCCGAGGCCATTTGCCTTAAGTCGGGGCGGGTAGGAAAGTAGGAGCTGACATCCCAGCCTATACGGGGACGCTCTTTGGAGTGGGGGACTCAGAAGGACAGACAGTGGGGTCACATGAGATCTGAGCCAATATTGGATTGCCCTCTGCCCTGACCCAGGCAACACCTGAGTAGTTGCTAAAGGGGTTCTTAACCCCCTTTATCAGAATCACCTGAGGAGCTTCTTAAAAAGAGCTGCCTGGGCCCCACCCCGGGGCCTGTTGAGTCAGAGTCTCCAGGGTTGAGCCCAGGAGTCTGTAGCTGAAACACTCCTCCGGGGATTTTTGCTGGGCCTGGGGGCCCCCAGAAGACGGCTGCTCAGTGCCCGGTGTGGCCACAGCGGACCCCTTCTCCTCCCTCTGGTTTCCTCATGTGTACGTGGGGTAAGAATCCGCCCCCCCCCCCACAAGGGGGCATGTGGGAACTAAAGTGAAATAATTTTTGGGAAAGGCCTGGCACATGCTAAAGCATTTGCTACGTGTTTGATGGCTGTAAATGCTGGTGACAAGAGCGAGGGGGATGGGGCGTGTGGGCTTCCCGTCCCCCAGCCGCGCTCCAGCTGCTTCTCCCAGGTCCCTGGAACAGACCCCAGTCTGTCAGCCAAGGCCCGGCCAGCATCCATCTGCCTTCCCTCCAACCGCACTGGTCTGTGTGGCCCCAGCCAAGCACAGCCGCTCCCACAGAGGGGCTGGGAGGTGACTGCCACCGCCTTTTCCCCATGTGGGGTCCTGCTGAACTACAGGTGGTGTAGAGAAAGGGGTCCCAGGTCAAACAAGTTTGGGTTACAGGGAGTTAAAGTTACATGACTTTGTTTTTTTTAATTATAGGAGTTTGCAGAGCTTTTAGGATGCTAATGTATATACCATGAGTTTCCAAGAAGGCGGTCTATGATAGAATTTCCCGAATTTGTTTAACCCCAGGACACGCATATGCAAAGCATTTTCAGACTCCAGGCTTCTGAGGCCTGTGCCTGTGCAAATGGAAAGCACAGACTAAGGCCAAGCCCAACCATTCTGTCTTGAGGTTGCCTTTCTCTCCTTTTTTACCCTTTCTTGGGCACCTGGCTTACCTACTCCACCTTTCTCCTGAGATGCTGCTTCCTTTCCTGGTTTCATTTCCAAGTCAGGAACACCATCTTCCCCAAATTAGGAGAGATGTTAGGGCCATGGGCCCAGGTCCCTGCAGCCGAGCCTGGCTGTGCTGTCAATGCATTCTATTCTGCAGCTCTGCCCAGGCACATCCGGGTGGGAGGGTGGCGCGGCCGGCAGCCCACAGAGCCCGGGGTGGCAAAGGGCTTGCTCATGAAGCCTGGAGGGCCATTTGTTTGGTTAACTGGGCTTGGGGGTGGGAGTGTTCCCTACGGGTTCTGGGTTCCCAGGGACTAAAGAGGTACTGGCAGGTGTAGGGGGTTTGCTGGGAACTTCTAGGCAGGTGGGTCCGGGACTAGATGGGCCTCCGACTAGAATGCCTGGGGGGTTTGCTCTTAGGAAGCATGGGGGCCTGTGAGACCTCACCACACATTTGCTGAGCCTCCTCTAGGAGCCAGGGATGGGGAAGAAAAAGAAGGCCATCCAAGTCACTTCTTGTTTTTTTGGCTCAAATACAGGGGTGTTTTTTAGAATTAGTGGGGTGCCTGGGTGACTCATGGGGCGCCTGGGTGGCTCATCGTTTAAGCGTCCGACTTCGGCTCAGGTCATGATCTCGCAGTTTGTGTGTTCGAGCCCCACATCGGGTTCTGTACTGGCAGCTCAGAGCCTGGAGCCTGTTTCGGATTCTGTGTCTCCCTCTCTCTCTGCCCCTCCCCTGCTCATGCTCTGTCTCTATCTCAAAAATTAAAAAAAAAAATTTTTAATTAAAAAAACTAAAAAAACACTATAGAATTATCATTAGTTACCAACATTTAAAAATTGGCAGGTTTCATATAGAAATCCAGATTTCCTGCTTCTCCTGCAAAATTGGAAGATCTGGAAATGCTGGCTCACAGTCTCACATGGCAGCAAGGAGTCGGGAGTTGGGGGAGGTTGCCTGTGGTTGGTTGGTTTTATCTTGAGAGAAAGGGAGAACTCATGAATAAGTGGGAGAGGGGCAGAGGGAGAGAGAATCTCAAGCAGGCTCCATGCCACCCTGCACTGAGCCCCATCTCACAACCGTGAGATCATGACCTGAGCCGAAATCAAGAGTCAGATGCTTAAGCGACCATGCCACCCAGGTGCCCCAGGGGCTGCCTGTTTGGGACACCAGTCCCCTGGTTTGCTTCTGTCCCCACTGTGTCCCCTTGGTTCACATGCCAGGCCCCTGTGGGCCTTGGAGTTTGAGAATCTGTTTGAAACTTTTGGACTTGTTTGCTCTCTGAGAGATTTTTCTGGGATTTTGATACTTTGGGCATTTTTAAAGAAAGGGTTGGGGCACCTGGGTGGCTCAGTTAAGCGTCCGACTTCGGCTCAGGTCATGATCTCATGGTCCGTGGGTTTGAGCCCTGTGTCGGGCTCTGTGCTGAGAGCTAGCTCAGAGCGAGCCTGGAGCCTGTTTCAGATTCTGTATCTCCCTCTCTCTCTGACCCTCCCCTGCTCACGCTGTCTCTCTCTCTCAGGAATAAATAAAACATTAAAAAAATTTTTTTAAAAAAATGGCTAATGTGTTTCACCAAAGCTTTCACTGTTCCATGTCCCAAAAACTCAGTGGGTATCTTAAAAAGAAAAAAATCCTCTTCATAGAAAGGTAAAAAGGGCACCCAGAACTGCCCTCCGCCTTCCAAATAGCAATACTCACCTGATATCCATAAGGTACATTCTTATTTGCAGAACTGTTGCATTAAACCCTCTCAGTCACCCTGGGAAAAAAGTCTACTGCACAGCCTCCTTCAGTAGTCTGCAGCCACGTAACGCTATTTAAGTTAAAATTAAATATTCTCCTCATTCATGCCAGCCACACCTCAAGGGCTCGATAGCCTTACAGATAGTTACTGGTTTCTGTATTGGACAGTGCAGATATATATTTCCTTCATGTTCTATTGGACAGCGCTGTGTCTTAATAATTGTCTTACAGGGGCGCCTGGGTGGCTCAGTAGGTTAAGAGTCTCACTTTGGTTCAGGTCATGATCTCACAGCTCGTGAGTTCAAGCCCCACAATGGGTCTTCTGCTGTCAGCACACAGTCCACTTCAGGTCCTCTCTCTCCTTTTTCTCTCTGCCCCTCCCCAGCTTGTTCTCTCTCTTTCTCTCTCAAAATAAATAAACTTAAAAAATAATGGTCTTACAATTATGAGAATGAAACTGGGGTTCAGAGAGGTCAAGTGACGTGAGTGCTGTCTCCTATAGCACTGAGCAAAAGGGGAAAGGGATATTTTTGTCTGCTTGCTTTAATGGGAAAATGCCCCTTCTACTTTTGAGCTATGAAAGAGAAGGGAGTTTAAAATAGCATACATACATATTCCTCATCACCCTGCCTAGCTCCAAGATAATTGCTATTATTATTTTGGTCTAATTGTTTCTAGATAGGTAGGGGTGTGTGTGTGTGTGTGTGTGTGTGTGTGTGTGTGTGTAATACATACATGCATGCATACATATGATGGGGAGAGGGAGAGAATCCCAAGCAGGCCCCCTGCTTAGCACGGAGCCCTATGCAGGGCTCAATCCCACAACCCTGGGATCATGACCTGAGCCAAAATCAAGAGTTGGACGCTCAACGGACTGAGCCACCTAGACGCCCCTGATCAGATTTTATATCTGGCTTCCCCAGCCTTCACTGCTGCCTTTTTGGGCTCTGTATGAGAGGACCTTAGCCAGGACGAGGTGGTAGGGAATCCCATTTGGCAAGGGGTGGTGGGGAATTATCCAGGGTGTCAGTACTTGTGGGAAACTCAGTTCTCCTAAATGACCCGAGTTTTCCTCCTTGTTTTTTCAAACATTGCACAAATTGGGTTAAGGAGCTGGGTGGGGCCAGGCTGGGTTCCACCCCTGGCTGTTGGAGGAGAGACCTCTGGTGGTCAGAAGGCGTGTGTCACTGCTGCCTCCGGAAGGGCACTGAGGACTGGGGAGCTGAGGCCCAGAGGGGAGGGCAGGTGCCGTGGACATCTGGCTGTGCCCCGTTGTAGTTAAGTCTCTGGGGCTCTGGGAACAGCCCTGCCTGCATTCAAATCCTGACTCTACTACTATTTAGCTGTGGGACCATAGGTAACAAAACCTCTCTGAACCTTAGCTTCTTCATCAATAAAATGGGTCACTAGTAACACTGACCTGGTAGGGTTGTGGGAATAAAATTAAATAACCTATCGAAAGCCCTTGGCACAGAATAAGTGCTTTATAGCCAGTGTGGGCTTTCCTTACGACCATATTAGTAACCGTTACTACGGATTATCAAGGGCACGTTATGTGGCGGGTGTGGGTCTGCTGTAATAGGGCCCTCCCCCCGGCCTTCTAAAGGAGGTACTTCTGAGGTTCAGAGAGGCAGTGTGATGGGGCAGATGTGGTAACTGGCATTCTCCTGGCCTTTATGTTCACAGAGGGCCTTTCTATTTATGGCTTCAACCAACCAGGGATGAGGGAAGGTGGGCATTTAAATTCCTGTTTGGTAGATGATAAAATCAGTTCACTTGCCCAAGATCTAAACCCAGTATCCCTTTCCCACCCCTGTCCCAGGCTGCAGCCTTTGTGATTGCCCAGTGGCCTGGTCTTATTGGGAGGGGCGCCCACCAAGGGGAGTGGCTGCAGGATAGGCAGACAGCCAAGGCGCCATAGCATCCGGTGTGGTCTCACTCCCATGTCCCCATCATCTGGCTGTATCTTCCTTCTTGCCCCAGCACCAAGCTCATGCTCTCTCCTCTGGCTGGGGTCCACTCCTGCCTATCACAGAGATGGGTCAAAGGCCCAAATGCAAACAAGGCCTTGACCCAGCAAGTGGCATGTTACTGCCTAAACCAAAAGCAACAGGAGAGGGCTGCTCTCCAAAGGTCGCCTCCAGAGAGAAAGACTATTTTTTTTTTTTTTGAGGTGAGTAGATTTTTAACAATTTTTTAAACGTCTGTTTATTTTTGAGAGGGAGAGAAAGCACGTGTGCATGTAAGCAGGGGAGGGGCAGAGAGAGAGAGAGAGGGACAGAGGATCCCAAGCAGGCTCTGCACTGACAGCAGAGAGCCAGACATGGGGCTCGAACTCACGAACTGTGAGATCATGACCTGAGCTGAACCCAGGTGACTGTTTTTAAAAATGGGGCTGGGGGCAGGCGGGGGAAGGGACCCAAAGGAGCAGGCCAAATCTGCATGGCGTGGCTCATGGGTGATCTTGGGCTATGCTCTCAGCCTCAGCTCTTTCACCTGTAAAATAAGAGATTAGAAGAGTTGGCCGGCTCTGAGGTCCTACCCAGCCATGGCACCCTCAAGCACTGCAGGATGGACCACTCCCTGCGCACTGTGGGGTACCTACTGCACCCCTGTGCTGTGTAGGATGGACAGACCACTCCCCGTGCATGGTGGGGCACCTGCACCCCTGCGCTGTGGAGGACTCTGGGCCTACAGAGCTGGACAGTGCGTGCTCCCTGCCTTCACACTACGCGTAGCCCAGTGGGGAGACCCGAAATTAGGCCCTGTGATTGGCCTCCCTGAGGGTGGGCCCAGAGAGCCCTGGAGAGGAGATCCAGGGTCCCAGCTTGACCCGAGGGCTGGCTCCTGGAGGAGGTAGCCTGTGAACTAATGCTGCAGGGGACAAAGGTGGCTGAGCAGGACAGGACTGATGTCAGTTTGGGCATGGGGGGTGGCCAGGAGCACACTGCACCACTAAAGCTGACATCGGACCTGCCCTAGAGTGAGTCAGCCTTGCGGGGGGGGTCCTGGGGGGCTGGGGCTTGGGCCATGGAGCCCCAGGAACTACCCTGTGCCTTGACTGGTGCCTCCTGGACTTTGGCAGGTGCAACTGGTCCAGGACCCAGTGACTGGAGGGACCTTCGTGGTAAAGGCAGGTGCTACTTTGTCCCCTGCTGTTCTGTATTCCCTTTGGGCCTTCCTCACCTACCCTCCGGGGAGCCCCCCGCTCAGAACCTGTATCTAAAACCCATGCTCCCTCCAAATCTAAAAGCTCCTTGTTCTGTCCCTGAGCACGTCCCCTGCCTCCCAGACACACGCACGTACTGCCTCATCCTTGTTCCGGAGGGTGGAGGGGCGGACTCCATGGTGGAGAGAGGGGCGAGGGCCAGGTCAGGAATTGGGGGAAGGGGGAAGGAGTTGCTACTTAGGGTGGCTCCTGTCCCTTCTGTGTTTGCCCCTGAAGCCAAGCTAGGATGTCCCCTAGCTGAGCACCCTCTGGTCTGTCCCTCGCTGACCTGCCCGCTCTCTCCCCAGAGCCTGTCCAGGTGTCATGTGGCAAACCGGGAGCGGCTCACCATCATCCCGCATGGCGTCCCCTACATGACTAAGCTGCTTCGGTACTTTGTGAGTGAGGACTCCATCTTCTTGCACCTGGAGCATGTGCAAGGTGAGGGGGTCTGGGGGGGGTCTCTGTCAGCCCCTGAGGCCTTTGGCTTGTCTTCTTTCACTGCCTTCAAATGCCAAGCACGAGGAGGGGGATGATGCACCGGATGTGCGGCACAGACCACGGGACCCAGCCTTTCTGGGGGAGGATGGCAGGGTCAGGCTGTGGTGGGGCTGTGTGGGGTGCCAGGGGGACAGGAGACGTCTTGAGGAGGTCATGTCCTGGGCAGTGAGAGGGTATTTATGCAAATGTCCCCTTTGTCACCATTTCCTCCAGTCTTGGCCTCTTTTCATTTTTCTAGTCTGTGCCCATTCCTTTGGAGTAGCCACGTGGGATGGTGGTCACTGAAGCTCTAAGGACAGCAGTTGGTTCATGGAGCAGATATTTTTTGATCACCTATCATAGTGACGGTTTTTTAAATGAGGGACCCATCCTTGGGTCATGGCATATAGTATAGCAGGGGGCATTCTGGGCAGAGGTGAGGATGTGGAAGGCAGAGGGGTCCATGCTGAATGTGCGGGGAGGCAGGAGTTGGGGACCTGGTGTCCACACTCTTCTCCTCTGTCCCCATGCTCACGGCTCCTCTGCATGGCCCAGGAGGCACTCTCTGGTCCCACCTACTCTCCAAGGGGCGCCCCCAACAGTCTGGGCTCAAGTCTGACTCCAGCCCAGAGAGGACGAAGGCTCCATTCAACTCGCCTCCCAGCCTCCAGACCCCAGTACTGCTCCCTCTGGGACCCTCCCTCCTGCAGGACAGAATTCTTCTAGAGCCTCCACGGACTCCTCAGAGCCTTCCCCAAGCCAGGGGGACCCCATCCATCAGTCCCCAGAGAGGGGCTGCGGGTGGCCCTTCAGCCAGGACCCCCACTTTCTGCCCCTCGGACCTTCTGAAGGCCCCAAGTGGCCGCCTGCACCTCCAAGCCAGGCGGGGACCCGGCCAGAACTCGGACACCAGGCCCTCTTGGGGGCTCCCTTGGGTTCATCAGGGAGCTGTCCGGGTGCTGGGGGCCTGCGGCCGAGGCAAAAGCCCGAGCCGCCCCTTAGCAGATGGGGTCCACCCCGGGGCCAGCAGGGGTGCCTGGCATGTGAACGAAGAGCAGGTGAGGCAGTGGGCAGCGGAGACGCTGGTGGCACTGGAGGCGCTGCATGAACAAGGGGTACTGTGCCGAGATCTCAATCCCCGGAACCTGCTACTGGACCAGGCAGGTAGGTGCCCGGCCTGGGGAAGAGGACCTACCCCACCTCTCAGAGGGGTCCCCCAAAGCCTCCAGAGAAGGGGAGTTCCCCAAAGCCAAGGGGACCTTAGAGGTAATCTGCTTCCTCGGACTCCCCCTGGCCTTTTCACACCGGATTCTACCAGGTCTGTCTGGTTGGCCAAGGTTGAGCTTGGGAAACGAACCCTCCCCCAACCCAGAATCCAGGGCAGCAGCTCCTAGGAACATCTAGTTGTCACTGGGCCTTATGGGACCAGGCCCTAGGGACTCTCTGCCCAGGGCAGCCACTGGCTCCTGCTTTGTGACTAGTGGGGGAAGCCCCGGAGTCCCTTGCCCCGTGCCAACTGCTCAGTGATGACTAACAATTTTTGTCCACCCTCCTTCCTATACACACTGGATGAGAAGGTCACATCCGGCTCACATATTTTGGCCAGTGGTCAGAGGTGGAGCCGCACTGCTGCAGGGAGGCTTCGGACAATCTCTACAGTGCCCCAGGCAAGAAGGGAGGGAGGGGCCGGGGGGCCCTAGATCTTTGGTGCCAGTGTGGGTTAGGCCGGGGTGGCTGAGGATGAATGGGAAGGGGGCCGTGTCTGGGTAGGACAAGTGGAGTGGAGACCAGCCCTTTGGGCTGGGACAAGTGTGTTCTCATTCCCACAGAGGTGGGCGGGATTTCTGAGCTGACGGAAGCCTGTGACTGGTGGAGCTTTGGGTCTCTGCTGTATGAACTGCTGACTGGAACCGTGAGTAGCTGTGCTGGGTGTGGAACCCTGGTGGGTGTCGCGGAGCGCAAGATGGGCTGGGCTTGGTCCAGCCAGCCCCTGCTGGGGTGGAGGCCACCTGGTTCTCTAAGACCTGGCTCTTGGGTTGATGTCCCGCCCCCATAGGCCTTGAGAGACCTAGGAAGCCCCCCCCACCCAGGTCACAGACGCGCTGAGCACCCCTGTCACGCTAGTGGCTAGAACTAGTGAGACTATCAGCTTAGGTAATAAGTTGGGATGTCCAGGGAAGGTTTCTGGAAAGCACCTGGGTGTAGGTCTGGAGGGAGGATGGAATTTGACACAATGCTTCTTTCCTGGAAGGCTACCGAATCACCCTCCAAGTTTCCCTGCTCCCCGCTGCTCATTCCCCCCACTTGCACCCTTTTGAGCTTTAATCCCCAGATTTTGGCTGAAGGATAGGACAGCGGCCGGCAGCTGTCCTGTCCAGCCTGGGCCAGCCAAAGGCTCAAAGATCCCCCCCATCCCCCTGCAGGCACCTTTGCTCAGGGTGGTAGCCTCTGCCCTCCCCCGTGAGCTTGGCATCACACTGGGGCTGCTTAGGGCAGGCAGCCAAGGAGACGCCAGACTGCAGTTTGAGCGGGGAATGACGGGAGTGGATCAAGTGTGGCCTGAAGTCCATCCTGGTGCCCACTTGCTTTTGTCCCATAGCCAGGGCCTCTGACCGTCCTGGCTGCAGATATCTCCAGAGTGGGGCTGTCTCCACCTCCCAATGCTTCTCTAGCCCAGGGCTCCTGGCCTTCCTCCTGGTTGCTTCTTGCAGTAATTCCTGACCCCTTAAAGACTGTCCTGGAGCACAGAGAGGTCCTGCCTTGGCCCTGACAGTGGCGTACCATGGCCTGCTCTGGAGGCCTTTTTTATGTAAGGACACCAGTTCCAGTGCTATTCCTGATAGAGTGCCTGCCCTGAATGCAACCCAAGGTCAATACTTCTGGCAAGCTTAGTGCCAAAGGGACCTGGGTTCAAACCCTGAATCCAACATAAGTTCCTTTACCTTCCTGAGCCTGCTGCTTGTCTCTGCAGCGAGGATACTAGTACTTTGAAGGGTGTTGTAGAAATTATGGATAAGGGAGGTCAGGCACCTTCCACAGCCTGGCCTTCAGTAGCTCTAAAGCAAAAGGCAGCCGCAACCACCACCACCATCATCATCATCATCCCCATGGAATATGACACAGGGGACAGTAAAATCCTGGCTGCCACTGGGATGTATAGAGGTTCCTGGAGCTGCGTCTTCAGAGCCCGCCGCCCTGTGTCTTCCCAGGCATTGTCACAGAGCCACCCCTCGGGAATCCAGCCCCATACCCAGCTCCAGCTGCCTGAGTGGCTCAGTCGCCCAGCGGCCTCCTTGCTGACTGAGGTGAGTGACAGCCAGCCTAGAGGAGAGGGAGCTTCTTGGCCCAAGGGTGGGTGCTGGGAGGGCAGTCCTGGCATGACCAGTGGCCCAACATACTGGAAGTCTGATGTGGGTGCAAGAGGGCTAATGGGGACAACAAATCTGTACATGCTGGTGGCCAGACACCGCTAGTGTCCCCAGGATACCACTGGGGGTTCCGTGGGCTGGGCAGCTGGGAGTGGTGACCGGCCACCTCACCCCACCTGAGGTCAGCCCATACCTCAGCGACAAAGGTCTGCCAAGCCCACTGGGCTTTCTCCACAGCTGCTGCAGTTTGATCCTGTGCGGCGCCTGGGCGCTGGAGGAGGCGGTGTCAACAAGCTCAAGGCCCACCCCTTTTTCAGTACCACCCAGTGGAGCAAACTGGTGGGGTAAGAGGGGCAGAGTGGGCAGTGGAAGCTGGACTGGTCTGGATCGCCTCTCTTTGCTGGTCACCTGGAGCGGGCCTGTATAGTTGGTGACCCCCCCCACCCCGGCAAAGAAGGCAGGGTGGCTGCTTTTCCTGCTCAGCCCCACTCATGGGCACCAGAAGTGACCATCACCACTGCCCAGAAGGCCCTGGGCATCCCCCAGCCAGCTCTGGAGACCCTTTCTGGTGATTACTGAAGGGGAAGGACAGGGAGATCTCACCCCACCAGGCAGATCGGACTCCTCCACCCATCCATCCTCCAGCCGTCAACAGATGCCCGCACCTTGACTGCAGAGCCGCCGTGTTGAAGGGTGCCTTCTGTGGCATTAGCTCAGAGCCCCTGACCACCTGCCAACCTGACTGCAAGGTTTCGTGACCATCTGCCATGTGCCCCGCTTGGGACCTGTCTGGAGACTCATCTTAGGATACAAGTCCACTGGCTCTGTGGACCAAAACCCAGGCTGCCTTGCCTGTCATCTCAGGCATGCACCTAAGTGGGCCTCTCCCCCTTCCCAGGCTACCCCTGTAGGGTATGGGGAGGCTGGGGAAGCAAGAAGTCAGTAGTGGGCATGGGGTGAGGTGGGGGACAGAATGGTCTGCTCCCCATCCTGACTATGCCCCTGATTTGTGATTTCAGACTTTGGAGAACAAAAGGCGGGAGAGGAAAATAAGGATAAGTGTAATAAAAGGGGAGGGAGGAATGCACAGCTCTGCCCCTTAAGAGTAATTCTGTAAACAGAGTAGAGCTCCATACCCTAGCAAGCCCACCAGTGCATTAAGGGGAGCAGACCCCATGGGTCAGAGAGGGGACCACAGTGCAGCCTCCAGGCTGAAGCCGCCACCACCACTCATTGTACCCATTAGGATTCCCTTCTCAGGCATTCGTACTGTTCACCGTTTTGCATTTTCATCTTGAGGGTCCACTCAAGTCACCGCCCACTGTGACTTCATCCCCTTTTGAAGTGAGAAAGGATAAAACGTGGATTGATTGCCTAAGCTTTTAGCCAGAAGCAAAATGTTTCTGGCCCCTGAAGAGCTGGGGTAAGTAGCTACCCCAAAGACCATCCCCTCCCCAAGTTTGGGGGCCCTCTTATTCCTCTCGGGATTCACCCTGCTACTGGGGTGTGGCAGCCAAGACGGAAATTTACACTAGACCATTACCCTCAACTCCTTCCTTCCAGTTTGTCTCTGACACCACCAGGTGGCGCCCTGACACTTTGAAGGTCCAATCTTAACTCTAGAGGTAGGGACACCAGGGAGCACCGCCTGTTTGTGCTCTCCCTGCGCCCTGGCCAGGCCTCCCCCCCACCGCAATAAAGCCTGCTGGTACCCATGGTGTCCCTGCCTCCTGACTGCGACGAGAGCAGCCCTGCCACGAAATTGGAAGGCTCCTCCAGAGAAATGCCACACTGGTCAAGAGTGAGCCTGGAGTCTACTAGAAGGTAGGAAGCAGGGCTAGTGGTGAAGGGCATGCCAGCCTGTGCCCTGCAGAGGAAGTGCTGGCACACAAGGGACACTGGAATCTGGGAAATAAAATAGGAATTGAAGTCTCAGAAGAAGGTCATAGTGCCTGGGGCGGGGGGAACAGTGGTCTAATACCCTGACCCCGGAGATGGGGGGCGGCTCCCATTTCAAAGACTTAATGATAGAGCCTGGTGGAGCCTGTTCACAAGTCTGTTCCTTTCACTACACTGCTTCCAATCACTGCTGCATGGAAGGGTGCGTTGCTTCTGGAACTTCTGGGGCTCATCCCATGCAACAAAAGCTTGCACACCTGATCCTTTGCTGGGCGTGGAGTTTTGAATACTGTTATCCCGGCCCTTCTGGGGCTTCAAGTCTACCTCGTTTTGACACAATGGGACTAACAATACCTCCTTTGTAGGTTTACTAGAGAAAGCTTCCAGCACTGTGCTCAGGACAGATTAATTCTAAAATTCTTCCTTTTGTTGAACCCATTCTATTAACTCCAGTTCTACCCTCTGGAGCCATTTCCTGTGACACAGACGGTGTCACCTAAGACCAGCAGGTAGGGACTGGGCGTAGAAAGGGAGGGCAGGCTGTGTTTAAGCTTAGACACCGTGTGCCCCTCCCTTGTAGTCTAGGTTGTCTGCTTGACCTCACTGACCGCTGCTCCCAGGAAGTGATCTGCCTTCATGTGGCAATTAAGTCCAAAATGCTAAATTGTAAAGTTCCCCTCACCCCCACCCCCAATCCATTCCAGAAACACTGCAAGCCCTCGCAAAAATCCAGAAGTGGATTCACAAAGGTGGGAACCAACTTCCCTTTGAGAGTGTGGCTAGTCAGGCTGGAGGGTGGGTGGCTCAGGGGCAGGCGGCCAGGCACTTTCCTGGCTGGGTGACCGCTAGGGTTCCCTCTGCTATTAACGGAGTACAGTGCTAACGGAAGTCTGGGATGCCGCAGGGTAACCTACAAGACACGCTGTGGATTCCAGTGGTAATGACCACGGTGCTGGGGAGTCGCACCTTGGCACCTAGAAGGAATGCAGAAGCAGGAACCTTTTGAGAACATTTGCCCTTTAATTTGCATTTAAAATCCGTTTCTTTAAATATTTTAGTTACAAGTTCTGAATAGTGAAGACATAGATGCTGCAGGCACTCAGTATCGGCTCCTGTCCCTTCCCTCCCCCCTCCCCCACCCCGCCCTCCAGGCCTTGCTTCTCTGCTCAAGATCCAAACGGGCACTCTGCACTCAGTAAGTGGTTCCTGGTGTCAAGTGGCAGCAAGCTCAGGCCTGGATGCAGTTGGATACAAAGCGATGAAGCCCAGTAGCTTTCACGACAAGATGTATGTATTTAAACTCGCTCCAAGCAATTCCAATAATTGCGTCCAGACCCAACAGGAGACACCACCTCACAGGTGACACTGCCTGTCTTCCCACCGTGTATTAGCATCTTGGGGCTGGTTTCTACCACAGTCCAACCTCCTCCAGACCTGTGTTCTGCAGAAAAGGTGCTAAGGCCCTGCTCCCCAAGGGCCATGAAACACAGAGAAACAGCTGCCTCTTTAGGCCCAGTGCTTACACCAGTGGCCTTTAAAGGCTCAAATCAATCTGAGCCAGTCCACAGGAAGCCCCCTCCTCCCAATCTCCCCAGGCTCCAGCCCTGTGACCATGCCCCATCCCACTGCCGTGCTGGGCTAGAATCTACTCTAAATGACAAGGTGGTACAATGGTTCCAAGCAGCCGGGGAAGGTCGGCACAATCACAGCTGTTACTGTACCAAAATGGGGTGATGATGGGCAGGGTGAGGGTAAGCCTGTCTCGTCTATAACATACAGCTCAGGGGGAAATCTGCCCTCTCCCCCCTCCTACCCAGATCCCCTGGCCTGTGCTTTCTGGACGAGGTAGAAGAGGCATCTTGAAGTCCATGACAGCAGAGAATAAAGGTGTCATTTAAGAAGCAAAGCAGCACCTCTTAGCCTGTGGTCGACACCTCCACACAGGTATAATCGAGTGAGTGTGCACAACCAGGACAGAGGCTGCTCTGAGCTTGGGGGACACCATACCCTCCTGGCCCAGAACAGACTTTCAAAAGATACAAACTTGATCACATGGTCCCCAGTGGTTTCCCTATTATAGTGTACTGGCACAGGGGAGAAGCAACTCATCTCGGCAAAAGACTAATGGGAGAAAGGCAGGAATATTAACGAGCATCCATTAAGGCTCGCTCTCCCTCAAGCCTAAAGTAGATATTTGAGTGTAAGAAGGGTGCAGAGAAGGGGAGAGCCTGGCAGAATACCAAGAAAAGACCTGTGGCTGCTGGTTACATAGTGCCCTGTTTCCTTGCTTGAGGCCAACAACATGTGCCTGGCACCAGGCCAACCTGGGACCCGTGAGGGGACAGGGAGAAGACTGGTTTTCAGTTCCTGCATGGTTGGTGTGTAGGGTGCGTGGCTTCCTCCTAAAGGTCCAGTAGGAGGACTCTGGGATCCTCTACCGCTGCCTTGATTTTGCGGAGAAAAGTTACCGCCTCTCTGCCGTCAATCAGCCGATGATCATAAGTCAGTGCCACGTACATCATGGGCCGCACCTCCACCTGCAGGGAGGAGAAGGTGACAGGTGTGTCTGCAGCAGAGCAGAGGAAGCCCCACTGGAAGTGGGGTGAGGAGAAAGCACAGTCCACAGAGAAGGTTCTGGTTCCAGAGCTTTGCCTGATGTTACCTCTGGATACTTAGCGCAAAGCCCCCCCACCCCCACCTAAAGAAAGCTTAACCAAGAAAACAGTCTGCTCACAAGTGCCTTTTAAAAATATGCTCTGCCCTTTCATTCGTCTGTTATCTATTGGAAAAGTTTGTCCTTAAATTTTGACAGCCTGAAGTTTCTTCTTTAGGGCTACAATTTTAAGTAGTAACCAGAAATCCTTAAATCCTCTGAAATTGTATGCCAAGTTGGGTGTTAGAGCATTTTCAAGGGAGAAGACCTAGGACTGTTGGATTCACAAAAGGGAGTTACTACCCCAGAAGGGTTCTAAACACAGGAAATCCCAGAAAGTATTTTCCTACCAGTGTATCTTCTAGGCTAGCTCAAGACCCTCTGACGTCCTTCCCTGAACTCCCAGAGAACCACTAAACCTTCATACAACCCGGCAGCTCACAGACTCTCCATTGCAGTCCTCTGGCTCCCAGAGGCAGGGACCATGCTTCCAACTGTAGCCTCACTCCCCCCAGCACCTAGAGAATGGAGCTTACGGACCATTCCAGATGAAGGGGCAAGCCGCCTTCAGCTCCATGGTCCTCACACTTTAATGTGTATCAATCACCTGCAGTTTCTGCTTCATCACGTCTGGGAAAGGGTCCAAGACTCTGCATTTCTAACAAGTTCCCATATGATGCTGATCCACACACCACAATTTGAGGATCAGTGGTCTAGCTGTTAATCAGAAACTGAGAATGGAATTTATGTCTGAAATTACAGTGGATCTTTTATAAGGAATAGTAAGATTTCCCCTCCTCATCTAGGAGGAGATGCTAGGGCAGTAGCAGGGATGGTTCCTACCTTGCCTCCCACAGCCACTGGCCTATCAAAGATGGCATGCATGCCCAGGATGGCCGACTGAGGGGGGTTGATGATGGGCGTTCCAAAAAGTGAGCCAAAAACACCTCCATTGCTAATGGTGAAAGTACCACCATCCATATCTTCAATAGCAAGTTCATTCTTTCGAGCCTAAAAATGAAAATTGAAATGTAAGCTGTGACCCAACTCTCTTCACCTAAAACGCCTGGGGCCAGGGCTCCACCAGAGGAAAGAGCCAAGGCCCCGAGCCCCTTTCCTTCCTCAGCAGGCCTCCTCCTCCGAGGCTATCTTTTGGTACAAGAGCACGCGGAGCTCTGCCAGAGAGCTATTCCTCAGCTCCTGGGGGGACTGCCATTCTCAGGCTCTGTACTCCTGGAGCAAAGTGAGGCTCCACCTGCCGGAGCCCTGAGCCCTGCTCCCTGCGGAGTCCAGCCTCCTCCAGCCCCTCCTCCCCAACCCACCCAGCAGCGGACACACTTGCTGCTTTTCACTGTACCTTCTCTCCCAGTTCACTGATGGCTCGCTCGATATCTGCATAATTCATAGCTTCCACATTCCTGATGACGGGAACCACCAGACCCTGATGAGAGTGAAAAGCTGTTTTCAGGTGCAAATTAATAGTACCCTTTATAATAGTAACTCCTTTGATTCAAGCCAGGGTCTCCCTTCCCCACTGAGTAATTACTCCATGTGACTAGGAGTCTAAAATATTCAGGCTTGACATTAAGATAAAAGGATGTGGTGTGGTCAAAGTAGGTTACTCTTCTATTAACTCCCTTCTGAAAAGACAGGATTATAAAAATTATCTCCCCAGGGGTCTGCATTTTCATACAAAGGGAGAGTCTAAGAGCAGAGTCCCCCACCTCTTTCCCCAACATACCCGTGGGGTGGCCACCGCAACACTGATGTCGATATAATCCCTATACACCACCTCTTTGGCTGCGTCGTCAATCACTACGAGAGAGAACACACATTACATACAACTCCCCAAGCCTAGGCTACTACAGAAACAACTGTATTAATAGGATAAAAACCTGCAATGCGGGCTGACCAACCAGCCTGAAAACCACTGCACCACACGCAGCAGACAACTCTTAGTCCAGTTGTAATCAAGATGCCAACCAATCGGTTGTAACGTCTCCCAAGTGCCCCTTACTGAGCCTGAGCACACGAGTGCCCGTTCTGGGGGCAGCCTTCAGAAGGGCTCAATACACCCACTCGCATGGGATAGGTGTGCACTTGGTTCTTTTTCACTAGTTCCGCCCAAGCCCTCCCTTAACAGACAAGGGCCCAAAAAGGCAAACTAGCAAAGGGAGGGGTGGGAGTGCCACCCATTCCACTGCCTACTCTAACAGGTGAAGGAAGCCTCTTTCTAGGAGGCTTAGGAGGAAGCAGGGTAGTGGAAAACAGCAAACTTGCAGCTGAAAATCTAGGTCTAGTGCTGAGAAAAGACAAGCTTGGGAATCTTTTCCATAGAAAGTCTATGACTATGTTGTTAAATAAGCCACCAAGGAAAAGCATGTGAAGTGAGAAAGAGGCCAAGAGAACTCAGAATTGCCTACAAGTCCAGGCAGGAAGAAAACGATGGAGAGTCAATCAGGAAGCCTGAGAGGAATGGAAGAGACAAAGAGGCACACATCTGGGCAAAGCAAAGGCACCCCTCTACCTCCCCTCCACCTACCTAAACACACACCACTCAATGAAAGGGACTAGAGTTTCTATCTCTAGATCTTTAGGGAACCTTGGCACTGCTGAGGATTGCAAAAAGTGTCACTGTCCCCTCTCCAATCTTCCAGGGAACAGAGAAGCGTCTCAATAGGAAAGAACTGCTTGTTAGATCAACATTGCAATGACGTGGGTGAGCAGCAACTAAGGAAAATGAGCACCAAGTCCACGGGAGAGGGGCCGAGCCCAAGGCCTCCCATGAGGTTCAGTGACCAGAAACCAAAGGTCACCCTGGGACCTATGCCAAGTGTGAAAGTCAGGCCCCAAGATGCCAGGGCCCATGGGAAGGCTGGTGCTAGACAGAACATGAGCTTCCACCCTGACCTGAGAAGACTGGAAGGCTGGGCTTGCTCAGAGCTGCCTGATGGCAGAGCAGCTGCCAAACTATGAGCCGGGAGGAGAAACCATTCTGTCCAGCTGGGGCAGGGGGGGTAGTGGGGTGATGGGGGGTGACATTACAAAGTAATCATGACACCATTTCAGAAAGGTGAATCAAGAAGTCCCTGGGGAAAGACACTCATGTTTTCCCAGGTAAGAAAGAGTTGTGGTGGGGTGGGGTGTGAGACAGCGACGGCGAGCGAGACAGCGACGGCGAGCGAGACAGCGACGGCGAGCGAGACAGCGACGGCGAGCGAGACAGCGACGGCGAGCGAGACAGCGACGGCGAGCGAGACAGCTAGCCGGTCTGTGCTTCCGCACAATCTCCCAGCATCTCCTGGGGTCTGGCCACCACAAACTCACCTGCATTTACAACAGGCTGCTCCTGCAAGGCGAAGGCTGAGGCCTTCACGAATGCTGACATGAAACCTAGTTTGAGGTTATGTTTCTTCAGAAAAGCATCTTTGTGCCGAGCCCTCATCTCCTGGATGTTACTGCAAAAACAAAACAAAGTGACCACAGAGCCTTTATTTTGACTTTCATACCAGCTTCTAATTCCGTGTACACAATTGGGTAAACATTTTCCCCTTACTATGGACCATCTACCTAAGTTCAAGTTTTGAAACAGTCCAGCAGAGGTCAATAGAATAACCTTATTCCTTTACAAAACCTGGAATCAAAGGAATTGGTCCAATCAGTCTTTAAGGTGGGCTGAGTCCCTTATCAGGCTCCTTCTTGGTCCAGAAGTCAGATTTCAAGGACAGGTTCTATGAACAAGAGATCACACAGCACACCAACATCCTTGCCTGGATGAGAAAGGAACTTCTAGCTACACTAAAACCATGAGCTCTCTCTTCTGAAGAAAAATTGTTTTAAGCATAAACAGTCTATAAAATAAACAATGTTCTTTTTATTTGTTACAATTATGTCCCAAAAATCCACACCAAACTTGATTATGACTTTCTTGTGACCCTCTTCCAATCTCCTAAATAATGAAGACAAAAAAATGAAACAAAAACCAAACTAAAAACCTCCACAGGTATTCGGGCTCCATGTGAGCAAAAGCACTCATGACTATATATGGCCAGATACAGCCCAGTGGCATCTTAGGCTCATGGGAAAGTCAACAGATTCCTTCTTCATCTTCCCAGGGTTAGCAGTTCCATAGATTTGTTCCTTCAAACAGGTGCTAACACCCACCACATGTAAGGGACAAGGCTGGGCTTCGAAATACAAACATAATAAAGACACAGCCCTTGCCCTTATTATCAGTTTAATGGATGGGATTTCCTTGGCATTTAGAAAAGTAGGTATGTGTGGACCTAAGTTATTAGAGTACAAGCAGCAGGCCTTCTGAGAAGCCTTTACAACGTAAACAGCCTTTGTAATTTAGGACGGAGTTTTCCAGATGTACCACATACATACTGCAGTTAGTGGGGAAATGGTTTTCCCATCATTTTGTTGCAGAAAACTCAATATTTATCGGAATACAGTTCCATGATGGAAACTGAATTTAACTTTATCTCAGGCCTAAACACTCAGTTTTCCTTTTCTCCCCATAATGGCCTAATTTGACATTAGCACGAAAGAAGATGGTATAACTTTAACTCCCCCTTCAGACCGTTTGCCTTTGAAAAAGAAGTTTTCCTAGGGAGGGCTGATTGGGTTTAAATGTTTGTTTTCCTGAGTCTAACCTTATTTAGTGCTAGGATTACCACCCTAAAGACATTACTGGTTCCCAAGACACAAGAGCTGCAGAAGAGGGCAAGAGACGTGATAAACATCTCTGCTCTCAAACCTGCCCAAATGCTATTGTCTGGTCATTAAGTAGTTTCTATTTCAGAGCTCTGCCCTTGGAGGCAGGGGCTGGGACAACAAGCCAGAGGAGAAGGCCTCAGAAAGGCCTCTTATGGGCAGCTGATCAGCATAAGACCCAAAGGGCACTCGATCTAAACCACATTACTGACTGCTGTGAGACCCCAGGCCATGGTTAAGTGACACCTCGATTAGCTGCTGAAAGGTGATCCAGCTACTGCACTTACCTTCCAATCAAAGCTGTTGGGCCAACTGCATCTTTCAAGGCCACAAATATTTACATGTTTTGTCTTAAGGAATTAGGTAGAATTTCAAAGTCCAATTCAATTTGTGTACAATTTGGCCCTAATGCACTGAAACATAAGCTGCAGCCTTTGTGACTCATTAGTCAAGGTCCTTCCCTATGTCCTATGGGTGGGAAGGAGAGAAATCTTTTGCTTGAATGACATCCAGTCTTTGTAGGAAGCTTCACAACAGAATGGAGAACATCTTGTGAAATAAGCCACGGAGCCCTACTCTGAACAATGCCATAGCACACGGTCAAAACACCATTCCCTTCTCTATATTTTTAAGATCCCTTCAAAAGAAAACAAATTTCCCTAATGAAAAGTAGGTTAGTAAACACTTAGAATAAAAAGAAGCAGAGATAACCTGAAGACCTCATGGTTTTCCTCGGGAGTTAAATATAAACTTTTACCCCCGGCATTCAAAACATTCCAAAGTATGGATCCAACTTCCTTTCCCATTCTTTTCTGCATATTCCTCACATCAGGTGTTTCTCAAGTGTATACTTTCCTGATACAGGGAAGTATCCTGTACTTTCCTGTGTCAGGTCCATGTTGTTTGTTTACATCATCTGGAATGAACTTTCCCCACAATGTTACTTGTGTCAAAATGCTACCTGATCTTAAGCCTATTAAAAATCTCTTTCCTGGGGCACCTGGTTAGCTCAGTTGGTGAAGCATGTGACTCTTGATCTCAGGGTTGTGAAGTCAAGCCCCACACTGGGTGTAGATTACTTAAAATCTTTTTTTTTTTTTTTTAAGTTTACTTATTTTGAGAGAGAGCAAGAAAGAGGCGTGGGAGGGGGAGAGAGAGACAGAGAGAGAGAAAGACAGAGAGAGAGAGACAGACAGAGAAAGAGAGAGAAAGACAGAGAGAGAAAGAGAGACAGAGAAAGACAGAGAGAGAAAGAGAGACAGAGAAACAGAGAGACAGAGAATCCTCAACAGGCTCTTTGCTGTCAGCAGAGCCTGATGCAGGGTTTGAGTTCACAAACCATGAGATCGTGACCTGAGCCAAAAATCAAGAGTCAAGTGCGCAACTGACTGAGCTACCCAGGCGCCCCCCAAAAATAAAATCTTAAAAATAATATATCTTGGGGCACCTGGGTGGCTCAGTCAGTTAAGTGTCTGACTTTGGCTCAAGTCATGATCTCATGGTTTATGGGTTCAAGCCCTGCGTCAGACTCTGTGCTGACAGCTCAGAGCCTGGAGCCTGCTCAGAGCCTGGAGCCTGGTCTCCTTCTCACTCTGCCCCTCCCCCACTCATGCTCAGTCTCAAAAATAAACATTAAAGAAACAAAGTCTCTTTCCTCCAAGTATTGCCTGGCCCTCCCTACCCTATCTCTGCCCTACACCTCAAAAAGAAATGCTCTCATTTTCTCCACTTCATAGTTTTTGTACTCCTCTGATACTCTTTTCCCTAGATTTTACTTTGTGTTTATATAAACCACATGGTAAGCTCTAGAAGGGTAGGGCTCTTTCTCCCTTATCCTTGCAGGCCCTTCAAATATAATATAGCATCTTGTACACAGTAAGTACTGCAAAATTTAACTACATTCTTGTCCTCACAGTGCTGACACTTGTATACATCAAAACCTTGAAGAAAATGGGTGAGTCAACAGCTCACCATAGAAATGGGTATAATACTCAATTGTCCCTCTGGTTATCATTCTGAGGTTTTTACTTAAAAAACAAAACAACTTGCTTTTCATTTATCAAAGCTGGGAAGGTGAAAGCAATGACAAGCCTATGTCTTTCTACCACCCAAGTCTGAATCGCCTGGCAATGCACGTAAGGAGGAGCCGCTGTGAGAAAGCAGCAGAAATAGTGCGTTGGCTTGGAGTGTGCGGTCAAGGGTTCTACATCTCAAGGGTAGGCCCAGACATAAGCCTTGTTGGCTCAGCTGCCCTATCTCTACTTGGCAACTCGACACCAGTTATCAGGTCATCAGAGTTTCACACCATTATCAGCCTCATTTATTGGACATCACAAGATTCAGGTATAAAAGGCTAAGTTTTTTAAGTCACGGAGCAGGCAATCAGAGAATGACGCTAATGGGTCACTCTGTGTCAGTCAACAAACAGTGCATGGAAATCCCTCTTCTCGCTGTTAGTTTTGGAATTAGTGCTAGGTAGGAGCTGGGGCAAGTTCAAGTGTTCTCCAAGGAGAAGGGGATAGGGAGTAAGAGGACTAGAGCGCTCACCTCATGTCAATCTCGTTGAAAGTAGTCAGCATCGCACATGTATTCTGGGCCTCCTTCAGACGCTGGGCAATGCGCTGCCGCATCCTATTCATCTTCTCCTGAAAGTGGGACAAGTATTGACAATCTGATCTTTCTGGATCAAGCCCTCCCCATTCAGTCCGAGGGAGCACTCAGCTTACAAGGACTGGATAGTCAAGGATGACAGCAATTAAGCACAAGAGCTCCAGGCTCTGTCTTGTCTGTGGTGGCTTTGTTCCTCTGAGCAAGAATGAGGAGACCGGGACAAAAACTACTCACTCAGACGTGCCTGCATTTGACCAAGAATGGAGGCTCAGGAAATGGTTTGATTTAAAAACCAAAACCAATTTAAGAAAAGGAAGAGTGTGGTATAGGGCTAGCCAGCCCAAGAATCACCACCAAAAGGACAAGTTCTGGTGATAAAGACTTGCATGAAAACAGCTACTGTGGAATGGAAACTCACAAGCAACACACTTTGAGGGTACAGTATTTTTAGGAGGTATTCTCAGGCAGAGGAACCCACACTCTTGACCATACTTCCTTGAGGTTTTAGGTCTACCCCTGACAGCTACTGCTACTATGTAGCCTTTAGCTAAGTGTCCCTGAGGGGCAGGAACGGAGCTCACCAAACCACCTCTCTGCAGTGTGGGTTACTGGGGGAGGGAGGGCGCACGTTACTAAGTTCCTGTCTCGTGCAAATATTTCACTCAACCAAGGCCTTTGAGTGGTAGCACAACACAGTAGGAAAAACCACTGGACAAGTAAATGTTCAAGACTTTGGGTTCTAGTCCTATCATCTGACCGTTATGTGACTGTGAACAAGTCACTTCTTAAACTCAGTTTCCATGAGCCGTCAGCCATTCAAACGCAGGCACCACAATGTCCGCACTCCACTAATCTCAACACTGCCCCTCTGCCTCTTCCTGGAAGTGGTCCCGAGGCTTACCCGATGTTCTGAACGCAGGCCTTTGCCAGCCCCTGGCTCAACTACTGGAGGGGCAGCAGTGGGTTTTACTGCAGACACTGAAAAAGAAGATACTGTACAGCTGCATCAGAAAATCAGAGAAACATTCACTGATGAGTGCCAGTGCTTTCATACTGTACTGTCACTTAATCCTTAAGATATTGTGAGGTGTACCAGTACCATTCCCACTTCACAGGTGAATGATCTGCTCAGAGAAGTAACTTCCCTAAAGTCACACAGCTGTAAACAGAAAGATGGGATCCAAATCCAGGTCTTCTGATACAGGCTACAGTTCCTTCTACAAAGCAGTCAATGGAGCCTGTTCAGAGCCATGATTGGTCTCCGATTCTGCCCTGCGAGGGAACATGACACGAGAGATGTTCTTCTCCCCCACAGACACACGTGGGAGGTGGAGGCTTACCGGGTTTGCTAGCAAGAGGTTGTGAGGGTGAGGGCACTGGTGGCATCTGAGTGGGTATGGGTGCTGCAGGGGGAGGAGGAGCTGCCGATGCTGCAGGCTCTGCTTTTGGGGCTGCAGCAGCAGCAGCTTCTGCTGGCTTGGCCTTAGCAGGAGCAGCTGAAAAACAAAAACAGAAGACATTGGTGCTGTCTGGAATGAAAAGCAACCAAGTCAGATACTAAGCAAGGTTTAGCAGTGAAAGCTCTATGTCCAATCATTTGACAAATTCTACCCGGGCATCTGCCATATACACAAGGCACTATGAAATGTACAAAGGACACGAGGCACTATCCTTCCATTTCCCAGTGCTCCTAGATGTCCTACATTACATAACCGACTTAATTCAGCTACCTTCCTGATTTCACAAGTATCGACTGATTGTCAAAATTTAGCAAGTACTTTCGCAGCACCTACTAAGCCTACGGCAATGTAAACTTCCAAGCAAAAGAAACCCAGGCAATTGAAGATGTTGATACATATACATGAAAGGAACACGTTTCTAGTTATGGGAATATTGACAGGCTCTTCTATTATAACATCACATGTGGAAGAATACGCTCAACTATTAAAAGTCTAAAATAAAGGCTCAAAGAGTTCAAAGCATTTCATCTAGCATAATGCTCATAAGTCAATGAGAGGTGGCCAAGCCATAAATTCACAACTTTAAATTATATGTGTATTTTGAGTTTATCCAACTGTACATATCTGGTTTCATATTTAAATAAGAACATTTTTTTTAAGGAATAATCAGGAGATGGAATTCTTCAACTGGAAAAATCGATCTTATTCCCTAGCCTTCTAGGGAATTATCTCAGCCTGATCTCAGCTTGATTAATTTCAATGATGCAATCTACCATCACTCTGCCTAACTTTATTGATAACGAGAAATAGACTTTAGCAGTCACAGCACTTAACTAAGAATCACAAAACCAGTTATTTTCTTTTCTAACCCCACATACTGACCGTAAGGTCCCATACAATTCATTTCCTTATTTCTCATTTCTTACAAATGAGAAAAGAGAGGTGGAAAAAACATGCTGAATTCTCCAGAACAGACACCATGAAATATTACTTCTTCTCACTTTAGAACAGTGGCTCTCAGCCCTGGCTTTGTATCAGAATCACTTGGAGAGCATTAAAAAAAACCCAAAACAAACTATAATAACCAGGATCTGATAACACCAGATTTAATATATCAGAATCCCTGGACCATGGAGTCTAGGCATTTGTGTGATTTTAAAACCCCATGTGGTTCTGATGCCGGGGCTGGGGAGAAGGTAAAAAAAAAACAAAAACACGATCTTTGGAATCTTCTTCATTCTATTATACCTTTAAGAAAAGGTCCAGCATAAGAAAATACACATAACGAGCAGTTATTACTAGGTTTTGTAAAATATCCCTTTCTTCTAGAACTTTATATTTAAAGTGCCCACTATATAAATACCACCTTAATCCCTCAACTAACAGCAACTGGAATGCCAAGTAGTCTTTGGGGTATCAAGGAATTAGTACATTATGCTCAGCCCCAATTCCAAGGGGGAACACTGGAGACCTTGACAAGCAGGAGAACTTCTTTACCGCCAGTTTTCCTGAGCGTGAAAAGAGGAGTGCCTCCTTCTACTTTTCCCCCATCAGGTACCAAAAGCGCTTCAATCACGCCATTTGCTGGTGATGGGACCTGCACAGATGTCTGGAAAACAGGGACAGATGGAGAAAGGGTTCACATTTTTACTCAGCATTAGAAATTTAATTGTCTAGAATCTCCAATGAGTCACAAGAGTTGCAAAACAGATATACAAAACTCTGCATAAGGAAACACCAAGGCCACACCTGAAGACTAATGAAGAGTAGATGCTATTATGAAGATTCACCCTTTGTCCTTTCTCAGAAACATTAAAGCAACGTTCAGTTAATGTGTTTCCAAACAGCTCATGCATGAGCACAAGTGCGCACAGGTGTGTACCCCCCCACTATAAAATTAAAGCTACTAAAGTACATAATACATATACGGAGAACAATCCAAAAGTAAACCTTTAAGGCTTTTTTTCTTTTTAATGAGCTATTCCAACACTTTTACAATGGAGGTTAAAGCAAATTAAAAATTATCTTTAAACAATTAAGTCCTTGTGTGTTTTTTCTTTAATTAGGTTAATAAAGCAAGGGGAGACCATGAAAAATTACACTAATAGAGGACAAGCCTACCTTGTCAGTTTCAATCTCACAAACCACTTCATCTTCTGCAACAGTGTCTCCAACAGCTGAAAAGACAGTCAAAGGCCACCTGTTAAGTGGGAAGGACTCCAGTAGCCACAAAATCCCCTTTGACAGGTATGTTAGAAGACCTTTTTCCTATAGGGCCAGGAAAAATTACACTGCATGTAAAGAGAAGGAAGGAGCCCAATTACTGGGGCAGAGAGGGGACAGCAATGACAACTTTATAAAGTATTTAAACTTAAATCAGTAAGGCCTGAAATCTTACCTTTCTCCCACCTAACATCTCCCTCTGTGACAGATTCTGCAAACGCTGGGGTTTTGACTGTAATCACATCATCCTCTAGGAAAAGAGCAAAAAAGGAAAATCACATGTAGTCCATATTTTTCATTTTTAATTAAATTCAATTGTTGCTCTTCCCATTAAAACGCCATTTCCAAGCAGGCAAAGAATTGAAAGCTGGTACTTACTGCACACAGCTGTAGTCCTGAAGAAGCGGACACTGAAGACATTACTGTTGTTAATACTACAGAAAACACAAAAAAAGTAAACTCCTTTAGTGGGTGAAGCATTCACATTTTAGTCTAGAGAAGGCACCATAGATCACTTTCCCTTTAAATCAGTGATTCTCGGCCAGGGGTGCCCATCAGTGTCACCTAAGGGAACTTTTTCAAAGCATATATGTCCAGGCCCCATCCCCAGAGATTCTGACTCAGCAGGTCTCTGGCAGAGCCTGGATGACTTGGTGCTCTAAGTGGTAAGCTCCTCAGGCGAGTCCAGAACCCTGTGCTGAAGTGAAATGTCACGTCTCACAAAATAGAGACTTACATCTGGTTCAGTGAAGAAAAAGATAAGCATCTTGGTCCTTTGCACACCCACCAAAATGAACTGGCTTCCTGATTACGTTCTTCTTAACTAAATCCACCTAAGATAAACTGCGTGCCCTGGCAGTACATGCCATTGTGCCACAAACAATGAAATTTTTGCCTGCAGAATTATAGACAGATCAGATATGGCAGCAAGATGAGACAGTTACTAGGTATTAAAACAAGATGTTATGGGCGAAGGGTGGGCGGGGAGGGGAGTGGCACAGAACCACCAAAAAAGTCCTAGAAGATCTCCTAGTCTGTTCTCCTGCTCGGAGGTAGCACACGGGTCCATTCTGGACTCACTCAGGATGAACCTCAAAAGACCAAGGTATTTTCCAATATGGCACAAACTTCATATAATGTAAACTAGAGAATGAGACCACCTTACATGCACAAAAGCATTAAGAGTGGTTAACTCTGGAGAGTGGGAGATGTAGATATATATGGTATCCATGGTTATCTGTTACACACATACACATTTGAGAATGACTAAGACCGATGGGGACTTTCACTTTCTATACTTCAGGACTGTCTGAATATTCTACAAGAAACACCTTTATGATATGAAAGTTAAATAGATGTAAGTTGCCTTTTGTTTTTATTTATTTAATGTTTACTTATCATGGAGAGAGAGAGACACACACAGAGTGTGCGTGGGGAAGGGGCAGAGAGAGAGGGAGACACAATATCTGAAGCAGGCTCCAGGCTCTGATGTGTCAGCACAGAACTGGACCTGGGGCTCGAACTCACAGACCATGTGATGACCTGAGCCGAAGTTGGACGCCTAATGGACTGAGCCACCCAGGTACCCTTAAGTTGTCTTTTGATATTTTTACTATCATATGTCAAAATAACTATACGGTCTATGTAGAATCAAGGGGAAAATGTATGATATCTTTAAAGGAGCACAGAACACAAAGTGATCTGCATAAAGTCTATAATTATGTGTAAGCACACGTTCATGGGCAAGAACTAGTGGGTAATGTGCAACTGTAGAGACTTCTCTGTGAGAACACTCAAGAACCTGGAGCACTAGCTGTGTCCCAGGGAAAGGAACTTGGTGGCACTGTAGGTCAAGGGTAAAGTCTCTTTTCACTTCTGAATCATGAAAACCTAAGATGTTTTATGATAAAAGGGTTTTTAAAATAAAGTGGGTACCTTATTCACAGAAAACAGACAAAAGACAACACAAAAATAGTTATAAGCTTAGGGTGATCTCACCCCTCAAGTTTAGTGTTTTGCTTTTTTTTAATAATTTACTTTCAGACAGTTATTTGTTGTATTTATTGCATAGAAATTTGTGGTTGTTCCAATTTCCATTCAAATTGCAGATGAGGGGCACCTGGGTGGCTTACTCGGTTAAGCATCCAGCTCTTGGTTTCGGTTCAGGTCAGGTCATGATCTCATGGTTTGTGAGACTGAGCCCCACGTCGGGCTCTCCACTTATGGTGTGGAGCCTGCTTGGGATTCCCTTTCTCTCCTTCTCTCTCCACCTCTCCACCCCTCCCCAGCTTGTGCTTTCTTAAAAAAAGAAACAAAACATATTATATGTTCACTGTAGAATATTTGGAAACAGCAAAAACAAAAACAAAAACCATACACTAAAAATACAGAATCACTTTATAACCGGTGTTTCCCCACTTATCATAGTGTGAACATGTTAACATGACATAGCTTAACCAATCCCGTTTGGCCACTTTGAGAGACATCTGGGTGTACCAGGAGTTCTTTAGTATAGATCTTTAGAAATGGAACTGCTAGATCAAAAAATACACAGTTCAAAGACTCATGAATGTAACTGTCCTCAGAAATTCAGAACTCAGAAATTCATTCTTTTAGTAGTAAGTGCATCATTTTCTCAGTTGAAAAGAAAATCCCATTGTGATGCATGGTGGAGAAGGAACTAATCTGTTGACGCTTCACTTTAAAGAGTCTCCCTAGACAGAAAGTAGCGTGATAGCTGTTTAACGGATAACTAGAGAGCATCCTCTTACCACTGCCCTGAAAATACTTGGAATGCAAAGTGGCATTAAGCAACATTCATAAGCAGAAGTTAATCTGAAACACACACGGGTGGCCTTTCTCCAAACTGCATTATGCAATAATAGCATTCCCTCCGAAGTAGTCAAAGTCCCAGGACTCAACTGACTAGTCTTTTGCTTTTACGGTTTCGAAAACGAGTAACTATGCTACCAAGAGGATGCTCTAAATGTCCACAATAAATGTAAACCTCCAGCCCTTCGGCAGCATCTATATCCAACCAGAATACTTAGGAGTCCCCCGTATATCTATTCCCACAAAGAGCAGGTTCCAATTTCACCTTCTTTATAATCTAGACACCTGAGGACAAGCACACTCTTGGGCCAGCACTTGACAGGAGGTTGAAGCTCAAGGCAGATCACACATCATAAATCAACAAGGTTAGGTCTAGAGAATCAACATAACCACCTTGATATCCAGGATTGGAAGCCAGTGAAGAAAGTAAATGGTCAAATTTAGAACTAAGTCTTAAATACTCTGTGGCCACACATTTGTGCTCCCCAGTGATACTTACACAATCTTCCTGCTGTCAGGGTAACCTGGTCCCTGACATAAGGAGACCCCTGCAAGAAACAAAACAAAACAACTCTTATCTTATACAGGTTACCTGCTGGGAATGGAAAAGTCTGTTCATCTCCTAACTCTGAGATAGAACAAGTGTAGGCACCAATATAATCTCTATCATACAGAGTCCTGCTTCTCAATGGCAGAGAGCAACAGGTATGTGGAATAGAGAGCGGGTATATGTTCGAAGAGGAAAGGGAAGAATTCTAAGGGCAAAGCCTGAAGTAGTTTTAGAATCTTATTTAACTTAAAATTCATAAATTTTCATTATCCTTTTATATTTTCATAATAAAACTTTCCTACTCCCTAAGTGTTCAAATATAATTGAAGCTTGAGAAAGACACATTATGGTTTATCTTGTGACTACACATAGCCTAATCTGAGAAGCAGTGGGGATGTTTGGTCTGGGTTTGTTTCCCTGGTTACTTACAATGCATGAAGCTGAAAGTTTTACTACCTAAACTCTACTAGCAAAGACTGGGCCACTTTAGGCCCAGAGTTTCCAGTTTGCCCCAGTACCCAGCAAATCACTGTCCCTCCTTTCAGTCTGTCTTCCCATGATCTCCCTGAGGTCTTCCCCTCTGGTCAAACTCAACAAGGTGGGAACCCCTTTCTGTCCCACCAAATGTCCTAACCACAGATAACGGTACTTCCCCAACTGACAACTAATTACTACAGTGCAGCTGCCTCACCTGAACATATTCTTTCAGAGCTCTTCATTCTTTCAGATTATCAATTTTTTTTAAATTTTTATAGTTTATTTATTTTTGAGACAGAGAGAGACAGAGCATGAGTGGGGGAGGGGCAGAGAGAGAGAGGAAGACACGGAATCTGAAACAGGCTCCAGGCTCTGAGCTGTCAGCACAGAGCCCGATGTGGGGCTTAAACCATGAACCATGAAATCTGACCTGAGCTGAAGTCAGATGCTTAACCAACTGAGCCACCCAGGTGCCCCAGATTATCAATTCTTTCTAAACCAAGGGCTCAGGAGACACCAAACAGCTCTCTTATGCACCCTCCTCCCCCAAATCTCTACAAGGTTTCAGAGTCAAGTCAGTCACTTCAGCAGTCAATGCCTCTGCAGCACAAATCCCAAGTATAGCATATCTTTGAGCTAGTACAGCCAGCAGCAAGTTATAGTGCTTTAGGGTTTACCAAAAGCTTTCACAGGGATGCCTGGGTGGCTCAGCTGGTTGAGCATCTGACTCTTGATTTCGGCTCAGATCATAATCCCAGGGTCATGGTATTGAGCCCTGCATCTGGCTCCTCACTAAGCATGGAGCTTAAAATTCTCTTGCTCTCTGCCCCCTTCCCTTCTCCTGCTCTCTAAAAAAAAAAAAAAAAAAGCTTTCACATAAATGACCTCATTTTGATTTTCATGTCTCATACCTCCCTAAAGTAGAACGACCATTTGTCATTATTCCCATTTCATACATAATTAGGGCTTCTGGGGGTTTAAGTGACTAGCCCAAGGTGAAGCCTTGGAACACAATACAAACCCCAAGTACAAGGTTCTTTCCATTGTCCTGCCAGTCTACACATGGAAAAAAGGTTAACTTTTAGGATTCCTAGTTTAAAAGAATATTTATTATTCAGAATCCACTACGAGCTCTCACTCTGCTAGGTGCCTATGTTCTCATGACTCTCAGGATAAAGTCCAAAAACTTTACTCATTCCTATACTGTCCAGCCCTCCCTATCTTTCCAGCCAGACAGGCTTCCTTTCCATTTCTAGGACCGGTTAAGTCCCTTCCTGCCTGAAAACCTTTGTACAAGCAATTCCTTTTGCCTGTAATATTGTTTTCTTGGCCAACTGCTATGTATTCTTTAAGACTTGGCCTAAAGGTCACCTCTTCTGAGAAGCCTTTACTGACATTCTCACCACACTCTCCACCTTCCCAAGCTGGGCGACATCCCACCCTTTCATTATACCCTGCACTTTTCGTTCAGTCATCACAATGTAATTGTGTCCAGATAGGTGCATAAATGCATATTTGCTGTCTTTCCAGCTAGCCCTTAAGATCTCGGGGGGCATCCCGGTCACCTAGCACAGTGCTTGGCATGTAGTAAGAATAAGCCATCTGTTGAGCATATGAGTAAATGACAACATGGTGGGTTAAGAGTTTAGGCTGAGGAGTCAGGTAGACCTGGCTTGACCAATAGTTGGCCGAGTAACCTTGGTGAAGGCACTTACCCCTTCTTGGGTAATGCATTTTGTAAAAGAGAATGCCTCTTTTATGGTTTCTTGGTGATTAACTGCAAAATGCGCAGAAAGCACTCCAAACAATGCCTGGCACACAGAAAGCTCACCACAGGATCACCTCATTCAACAAACATCAATGCCAGTCATATAAAAAATTATCAGGACAAAACCTAAATTCCCTCCAATAGTCTACATGCCATCTTCTATCTCATACCATTCCCTCCCTTAACCAAAATTCTCTGGCTCAATCACCTTTTTTCCAGTGTCAAAACACTGCCAAGCTCTTCCTTCTTCACGGGACTCTGCACATGCTATTCCTTTTCCTTCTGCTTTTCACTGAACTGGCCTCTGTCGCACCCTCTGGGTTGTAGCTTTAACGTCCCCTCCTAAAGAGGGCACTTTGGTCCACCTTCATTTGTTTCCTTCTCAGCACTTGACCAAAATTCAAGACCCCTCATTTGCTTAGCAATTTACACTCCGTCTTTCCTCCTAGACTGTAAGCTCCAGGAGAGCAAGACTTGTTAACTGCTATATCCCTACTGAGCACCCAGCACAGTACCTGACAGGAAGGAGAAACTCAGTAACTATGTGCTAAATGAATAGGTGACAGCTGTTCTTATTAAAAAATACTTTGTTTCACTTCTATATATCTGAACGTCATGGGGAGAAACATTAGCACCCGGGCTTCCTCACTTACTGCTCTGCCCAGGAAAAGAGCATGTTAGGTGAAGACACGGGCACAACTTACCAGGCAGGGAACGTCTCCCTAGAGGGCAGTTCCCCTGTTGAGAAAGAAGACATTATAGACGTCACCCAAGATGAAAGGAGGGAAGAAACAGCTTTTTAAGTACAGACTCAAAGCCGCCTGGGTGCTAGGGACAGGTGAATCTCATGACTCCAAAAGGCAAATGCAACAACCAGGGCCCTCAGTCGCAGCCAGCACACTAGGCCTGACAAACGATCTCAACTTCCCACCGGGGTTGACACCCCCTGACTAACGGGGGACAGGGGGCGGGTCCCGGATCCTGTCTGGACTCCGCCGCGCCGCCTCCCAAACTCGGAGTCTCGAGTCGGGCCGGGCGCGGCTCTGGGCGGCTCCTCAGTCCCCGGCGCAGAGGATGGGGCGGAGAAGGGGACGGGGCGCCGGCTGCTTCGGGAATGCTGGGGGCCGCTGGGCTCTGCAAGATGCCCCAAAGAGCAACTGTGGCCCCGGGCCGCCCAGTCCGCGGCCTCCGCGTCCCGGTGCCCTTGGTGCCCGGCTCGACCGACGCGCCGCGCCCCAGCTCCCCAGGCTGCCCTTGGCCCGCCGGCGGGTTTCTCACCAGCCGGAGCCCCGGCACGGCCGGACCGTACCTTCTGGAAGGCAGACAGCGAGCGGCTGAACGCCCGAGACACGCAGCGTGACCGGGACAGCATCGCGACAGCGGCGGAGCCGAGGGCGGGCGGACACCGGATATAGGGCCCGGCAGCAACCGGAAGTGAGGCGGGCCACTGCACCTGCTGCTCGGGGAGGGGTGTTCGGAGCGAACCACTGGCGGGTGGGGGGAACCGACCGGCAGCGCGAACCAGCCGCGGCCTCAGTCCCCCTGTCTGCACCAGGGTACAGCGGTGGGGCGCTCTCGGAGCCCGCTGCACCGCCTGCCGGCCTGGGCCGGTCCTCCCGGGGTGCCTACGACTGTCCGGAGACCAGGCCGCCCCCGGAGCCCCGCCCTCCCCGACCTTTCCTCAGCTGGCCCTGAGCTTGGCGCCAGTCTCTCCTGGGACCCCGGACACCGTGCCTTTCCACCTCTGCTCTAGCGGAAAAGAGCGGGAGGCTGGCATGGGCTTTGAACTCGGACCTTGGCAGACATGCCAGCCTGATCTTATACTTGAGTGGCCCTAGGCAGATGACATTGCTTCCCTGAGCCTCGGGTTCCTCAGATATATATCAAAAAGCAAGTCACTTGCCTGCCTCTCTAACCCCAGAACAAAAAACAAAAAACAAAACAAAAAAAAAAAAACAACAAAAAAAACCCAGCCCCAAGGAACCCCTAAAGGTTCCCATTATACTTTTACCAGACGAAGATCAACAAATAGCCTTACTTCTGCAACGTCTCCTGATCTCCCCTAGTCTGACTCAAATTCCCTCCAGCCAAGCTAATTGTAACCCCGTACATCCTGTGCATTTTGGAGGTGGTTCATTAGCCACTCTATCCCTAGAATATAAACCACATAATTAGGGACCTTGTCTGTCTTGTTCACAGCTGTATCCCCAGCACTTAGAACAGAAATTGGCGTAGGTAGGTGTGTATTAACCATCCTGCGTGAAACCTTCAAAGTGAAAGCACATGGCACCCCCACGCTCATTAGTTTTCCCTCCCCTTCAATGCCCAGGCCCCTGAACATTCTAGCTCAGCTTCTTAATAGAAAAGGTTTTCTATAAGCTTTGGTGGAATTAAGAATGAATGAATGAATGAGCCACTGATGCCTGCTCATGTTGGTTGCTTCAGCTAAGTCATCTTGCCTGGTCCTCAGGCATCTGTATGGTGCCTTCATTCACTCAAACTCTGGAAGCTTCCACCTCAATTCTGCAAGGATGGGCAGAAGCCCTAAATAGAAACAGAGAAAACTTCTTTGCCCAGCTGCTGCCCCTGATCAAGTCTTCAGCATCTTTCACCTGGATTATTTTAAAAGCTTCCAAAAGGGACCTGGGTCTCCATTCTTTCTCTAACCCATCCTCCAGGTCAAAGATCCTTTTGAAACAAATCTAATCCTGTCACTCTTATGATTGAAGTTTTTCAATTGCTTCTATCAGTAGGATGAAGTCCAAATACCTTAGTTCGACCAAGCACCTGATAACCTAGCCTTTGGCTATGTTGTGATCCCGCCCTCTGATTTTCACAGGTGCTGAGGTTTCATTCTACAACTGTTGGCAATAGCCCCAGTGTGCTCTTTCACTCCTTCCCACCTTTGGGTGGGCTGGTCCCACCTCCTATTTGCCTAAGGACTTCTAATCATCCTCTAAATCTCTTTTGAATCCCTTTCCTAATAATCAGAGTTAACAGATACCTTTTCTGTGCTTCCAAAGCATTGTGCCCATATCTCTCCTTTGCATTATAATGTCCTTTTTGCCTGTCTGTCTCTGATCCTGGGCAGAGAAGAAGCAGGAAAGAGATGACTCTGTTCTGAATCCTGTGCACAGAACACAATGCCTGGCATGCTGTAGGTACTCAGTAAGTACAAGTGGAATTACTAAATATTGCCATGCTTATAAGACTGCTAGATGCAGCCAAAAAAGTCCCCAAACAGTAATCCCTTGCAGGGTTTGCTGTTAGTATTTCTTAGACAGCTATGGGGCGCCATAGAGGTTAAGCCTCTGATTTGGCTCAGGGCATGATTTCACGGTTGGGGGTTGGAGCCCCGTGTCAGTCTCTGCGCTGACAACTCAGAGCCTAGAGTCTGCTTCAGACTTTTTGTCTCCCTCTCTCTCTGCCTCTCCCTCGCTTGTGCTCTCTCTCTCAAAAATAAACATTAAAAAAAAAAAGTGGAGGAGTCTCAAATGCTGCTTCACTTTGTTTTAATATTTCTTAGGCAGCTACTTGATTGTTTCCACTTTAAGTAATTAGTTTGAGAGATTCCTATCTACAGTTTAGCAGTTCAGGCCTGGATGATGTGACAAAACATTTCTCCTGGAGTTTTAGTGATCACCCAAGTTAATCTCAGATGTGAGGATTTAGACACACACACATATGTGCTGGTGTGCACACACGCATGTACAGCATTGTGCAAAGTCTCTCTCAGAGGATAAAGGTTGAAATTGATTTCCTTGAGACTCATAAATGAGCTTCTGTGGAGTCCAAGTTGCAACCGAATAAGTTCCCACCCTCTTCCGGATTTAGAGCTTCCTAGCATATAGCATCATCTATCGGGACAGGAGTTATGAATATAAGTTCATAAACTCGTATTTGTAGCAGAGTTCAAAAGGGAATTTATTTTTTTACATTAAAAAATCTTAATTTGAATATAGTTAAACATACAGTGTTACATTAGTTTCAAGTGTACAATATAATGATTCAACAATCCCATATATCACTCAGTGCTCATTAAGATAAGTGCACTCTTTAAAAAACTTTTATTTATTTTTGAAAGAGAGAGAGATAGAAGAGGACAGAGAATCTGAAGTGGGCCCCATGCTCACAGCAGAGAGCCTGATGTGGGGCTTGAACTCATAAACCGTGAGATCATGACTTGAGCCAAGGTTGGATGCTTAACCAACTGAGCCATCCAGATGCCCTGACTCTTTTTTTTAATGTTCATTCATTTTTGAGAGAGAGAGAGAGAGCGCACAAGTGGGGAGGGGCAGAGAGAGAGGGAGACACAGAATCTGAAGCAGGCTCCAGGCTCTGAGCTGTCAGCACAGAGCCCGATGTGGGGCTCCAGCCCACGAACTGCTAGATCACGACCTGAGCCAAAGTCCCACAAACCACAAGACCATGACCTGAGCTGAAGTCAGACACTTAACCCACTGAGCCACCCAGGTGCCCTTAAGTGTGGTCTTAATCCCCTTCACCTATTTTACCCATCCTCCCACCACCTCCCCTCTGATAACCATCAGTATGTTTTCTATTGCTACGAGTCTGTTTTTTGGTTTGTCTCTTTCTTCCCTTTTGTTTTTATTCTTCAATTCCACGTATGAGTGAAATCATATGGTATTTATCTTTCTCTGACTGATTTTATTTTACTTAGTATTATACTCTCTAGATCCACCCATGTTTTACAAATGGCAAGATTTCATTTTTTTATGGCTGAGTAATAGTCCACTATATATACATATATATCTTCCACTATATATACCATTTATCCATTCATCTATTGATGACACTTGTGCCTGTTCCATAATTTGGCTATTGTAAATAATGTTGCAATAAACATAGTGGTGCATATATCCTTTTGATTTAGTGTTTTCATATTCTTTGAGTAAATACCCAGTGGTGTGATTACTGGATCATAGATTTTATTTTTAATTTCAAAAGGGAATTAAAAACATTTCAATTATAAAATATATATTCGATAGGGTATATAAATATATGTGTATGATCTAAAGAAAAATAGTAAAAGGAATACCACATTCACCATCCAGCTGAAAATGGAAAAGCCCTATGTGGCCTTCCTTACTCATCCTCCACTGCCAGGGTCAACTATATATTAACCATGACCTCCCTTCGCTGTAGTTTCTATATGCCTGCCTCTTAAACTATAAACTTATTTTGCCTATTTTTTATTTTATTTAAAAAAATTTTAATGTTTATTTTTGAGAGAGAGACAGAGTGTGAGTGGGGAGGGGCAGAGAGAGAGAGAGAGAGAGAGGGAGACATAGAACCTGAAGCAGGCTCCAGGCTCTAAACTGTCAGCACAGAGCCCAATGTGGGGCTTGAACTCAAGAAGTCAAGCGAGAACTCAAGTCTCGCTTGAACTGCGAGACTGTGACCTGAGCTGAAGTCGGACGCTTAACCGGCTGAGCCACTCAGGTGCCCCATTGCCTATTTTTGAAATTGAGGAAAATATGTATTTACTTTCAAATTATATAAGAAAAAATTTTGCTTCTAGAAAGGATAAATAGTTCAGTTAATGAAAAACAATGGAGTAGGCAGCCTACTTTAAATAATACACACAATATTCTTTTCTCTTACCTGAAATCCCCGGATATTCATATGTGTGGTCTGAACTACACACTCATATCCTTGTTTATATATGTTTTAATATTATTGACCAGATGGTAGATTGCTGGACTATAGCCTATCTTTCCATCGTCTGGACTCCTTAAAATAGAGACTATATCCTGTATTCCCTTAGTATTATTCATAATACCTAGATTCCAACTATCTGTCCATCTCTCTCTTAAACTTTTAAAAAAATGTTTATTTACTTTTGAGAGAGAGAGAGAAAGAGAATGTGAGCATGAGAAGGACAGAGAGAGAAAGGAGACACAGAATCTGAAGCAGGCTCCAGGCTCTGAGCTGTCAGCACAGAGCCCACCACAGGGCTCGAACCTACGAACCATGAGATCATGACTGGAGCTGAAGTCAGACGCTTAACCAACTGAGTCACCCTGACACCCCTCTGTTTAGTTGTAATTACAGATAATGGATAGATGATACTCAATAAAAATCTAGACATTGTTATTTTTAAATGGAATATAAATGGAACCGCAGCATTTGTATCATTCTATGGCTTAACTTCTTTCACTCAACATTGTGTTTTGAGGATTTACCCATGTTGAGTCCAGCTGTAGTTCACTGATTTTCTTTGCTGGAATTCACAACATACTTCCCAAACTGAAGGAGGGATCTGGTTTCTCTTCAGATCCCATAAATCTTTTGCCTTTTACTGAAGGAGGAGAAGATGGCAAAATTCAAGTGATGTTTGGCGGTAGGTGGATTTGGCCAGTGAGTTCTCCCCAGCT